CCCATGTTCCGCCAGTTAACCCGGTCCTGTGCTTGCTGCTGCCAATTTATACCCGCAAACTTTTTAATCTCATCTGCCCACCTAACCTTCTGTCTCCCTCTAACCCGCTTCCCTTCTCTGGGAATCCAGTTAGTTACCCTTAATGACCAGCGGTTATCCTGTCTACGCGCTACATGCCCGGCCCATGTCCATTTCCTCTTCTTTATTTCAACTATGATAGCCTTAACCCCCCCGTTTGTCCCCTAATCCACTCTGCTCTCTTCTTGTCTCTTAAGGTTACACCTACCATTTTTTTTTCCATTGCTCGCTGCGTCGTCCTCAATTTAAGCTGAACCCTCTTTGCAAGTCTCCAGGTTTCTGCTCCGTAGCTAAGTACCGGCAAGATACAGCTGTTATATACCTTCCTCTTGAGGGATAGTGGCAATCTACCTGCCATAATTTGAGAGTGCTTGACAAATGTGCTCCACCCCATTCTTATTCTTCTAGTTACTTCAATCTCGTGGTTCGGCTCTGCGGTTATTACCTGCCCTAAGTAGACAGTCTTTTACAACTTCAAGTGCACTATAACCTATCTCGAAGTGCTGCTCCTTTCCGAGGTTGCTGTACATTACTTTCATTTTCTGCAGATTAATTTTAAGACCCACCTTTCTGCTCTCCTTGTCTAACTCCGTAATCATGAGTTGCAATTTGTCCCCCGAGTTACTCCGCAATGCAATGTCATCGGCGAAGCGCAGGTTACTAAGGTATTCTCCATTAACTCTTATCTCTAACTGTTCCCATTCTAGGCTTCTGAAAACCTCCTGTAAGCACGCGGTAAATAGCATTGGGGAGATTGTGTCCCCCTGCCTTACACCCTTCTTGATTGGTATTCTATTGCTTTCTTTATGAAGCACTATGGTAGCAGCTGATCTCCTGTAGATTTCTTCCAGAATGTTTATATATACTTCATACATGCTCCGATTCCGCAGTGTCTGCATGACGCCTGATATTTCTACTGAATCAAAAGCCTTCTTGAATCTATGAAGGCTATGTATAATGGTTGGTTATACTCTCAGCATTTCTCTATTACCTGATTGATAGTATGAATGTGGTTAATTGTTGAGTAGCCTGTTCGAAATCCTGCTTGTTCCTTTGGTTGATTGAATTCTAACGTTTTCTTTCCTCTGTTAGCAATTACCTTTGTAAAGAGCTTGTATACTACAGAGAGCAAGCTGATCGGCCTGTAATTCTTCAAGTACTTGTCATCTCCTTTCTTACGTATTAAGATGATGTAAGCGTTCTTCCAAGACTATGGTACTCTTCCCGTCAGGAGACGCCTCGTAAACAGGGTGGATAGTTTTTCTAACACAATCTGTCCTCCGTCTTTCAGCAGATCTGATGTTACCTGATCCTCACCAGCAGCTTTGCCTCTTTGCATGCTCTCCAAAGCTTTTTTTTACTTCTTCTATCATTACTGGTGGGGTGTCATCTGGGTTACTGCTATTTCTTATAGTATTAAGGTCGTGGTTGCCTCGGCTACTGTACAGATCTCTGTAAAACTCCTCCGCTATTTTAGCTATCCTATCCATATTGGTAGTTATTTTGCCTTCTTTGTCCCTTAGTGCCTACATCCGACTTTTGCCTATCCCAAGTTTCCTCTTCACTGCTTTGACGCTTCCTCCGTTTTACAGAGCGTGTTCAATTCTCTCCATGTTATACCTTCTTACGTCGGATACCTTACGCCTATTAATCAACTTCGAAAGCTCTGCCAGTTCTATTTTGTCTGTTGTACTTGTCACTTTCATGATTTGACGCATCTTAATTGGGTTCGTTTCCTGGGAAAGCTTGCCAGTGTCCTGTCAAACTACCCTGCCTCCAACTTCCACTGCACACTCCGTAATGATACTCGTCAGATTATCATTCATTGTATCTACGCTAAGGTTGGTTTCCTCACTAAGAGCCGAGTACCTGTTCTGCAGCGACACTCGGAATTCCCCTACTTTCCCTCTCAGTGCTAGCTCATTGATTGGCTTCTTGCGTATCAGTTTCTGTCGTTCCTTCTTCAAGTCTAGGCGAATTCGAGACCGTACCATTCTATGGTCACTGCATCGTACCTTGCCAACAACTTCCACATCCTGCACGATTCCTGGGTGTGCACTCATTATAAAGTCTATTTCGTTCTTATTTTCGCCATTAGGGCTCCTGCATGTCCACTTGCGGTTTTCTCGTTTTCGGTAGAAGGTATTCAAAATCCGTAAATTATAGCGTTCTGCGAATTCTACTAGTAGCTCTCCTCTGGCGTTTCTAGTGCCGATGCCATAATCTCCTACTGCTTGGTCTCCAGCCTGCTTCTTCCCTAGTTTTGCATTAAAGTCGCCCATCACTATAGTATACCGTGTTTTTACCTTACTCATTGCCGATTCCACGGCTTCATAGAAGCTTTCAACTGAAGCGTCATGAAAAGAGCATATCATTGTTTAAAATTTGGTATACTACAATGAGTGCTGAGGGTACTTTTCAAACTGACAAAAATAACCATTTTCACGTGGTAACAAAAGAGTTAAAACTGCTTGTTACAGCACTTATTCACGAAATTATTGTGGCAGCATGTTGACACCGTACAAATGTGTAGCAATTTCTCTATCAGAAATTTCTACTACCGCCCTAATTTAAATGTGCCAATTTAGAACTTCGAAAACCTCGTCATTAAACAAGGGAAACCTAACTTCCAGCAACATATTTTACCATCCATGTTAACCGACAACCCAGGAAAGTTTTGGCACGTCATTAATCTTAACCATAACAGCATGTTGCATCTAATCGATAATAATGGCATGCCTATTGTCGAATCTGATTGCGCCGAAATATTAAACGTCTTCTGCAACAACTTCACAAGGTATACTGATGTGACACCTATATCAACCTGGTTACAACAACTCCACCATGAATCCTATTATCATTTCCCCCTCTAGTATCACTAAGCTTATTGATTCACTAAAGACATCATCAAGTCCTGGCTCACTCAGTTACTCCTAAATTTTTAAAAAGCACCAGGGCCATTTCGTCATTGTTTCTTGCACAGATTTTTGAGCAATCCATTGATAGCAGAGCTCTTCCGCAGGACTGGCAGATCGGGAAGGTAGTTTCGATACACAAGTCAGGTAGTAAAAGTTCACCCTTAAACTACCGCCCCAATATCATTAACCAGTATTCAATGTAAAATATTAGAGTACATTATTTACACTAACGTCACCTCATTTTCGGAAACATTCTGTTTGGACACGCAACATGGTTTCCTCAAAAATCGATCTTGCAAAACACAACTGCCATCCTTCATTCACCAACTTCATGTTTCTTTAGATCGTAGGTCACTAACAGATTCCATTTTCTTCGACTTCTTTAAGGCTTTCGACAAAGTGAGTCATAAATTACTGCTCCAAAAGCTAAAGCAACTAAACCTTGATAATAACGTCATCAGATGGATAGAACATTTCCTACTTAACCGCAAGCAGTTTGTAACTGCTAACGGGTGTTATTCTTCATCTCGCGACGTTCACTTTGGAGTACCACAGGGTTCCTCCGTCTTAGGACCCCTTATATTTCTAGTTTACATTAATGATTTGCCTTTGTGCGTTTCTTCTAACATAAAACTGTTTCCAGACAACTGTGTTGTTCCGTAAAATTAACAGCATAAATGACATCACTACCCTTCAAAATGAAGTTGACTCCATCTTTAACTGGTGCACGACTTGGCAAATAAAACTAAATACTTCTAAATGCAAGATATTGTGCATTTCCCGAATATCATCTTTTCCTGCTACTTGCTCACTTAACAGCATCCCACTCGAATCGGTCACCTCTTACAGTCATATAGGGACACACATCACCCCTTGTTTAAGCTGGTCACTCCATATCTGCTCCATTATTAATAATAATGCAAACCGCATGCTTCGGTACATTCGTCGCAACTTCTCCTCTGCACCTGCTCCACTTAAACTACTAATGTACAAGATGCCAATTTGTAGAAGATAGAATACGCCGCTGCAGTATGGGATCAGAGTCTAATTAATCTAATCAGTGCTCTTGAATTAATCCAAAACAATTCTGTTCACTTCATTCTTCACAACTACAGTCGTCACGCTAGCATTTCTGCCATAAAAAATTCATTCTAACTGCCGTCTCTTGCCTCTTGTCATACGCTCTTCCGCCTCTGTCTATTTCATAAAATTTATTATCATATTCCAACTCTTCGCGAGGCACTTATTTTTCAGCCTTCTTACGTATCATGTAGAATTGATCATCTCAATAAAGTTGGTGCTATGTCATGTCTAACCAAAATATGCAGAGATTTATTTATTCCCAGAACATCAGTAGACTGGAACCACCTTCCCAGATCTGTGGCCATCTTGAGTGAGCGCCACTTGTTTCGCTCTGCGCTAACTAGCATTGTATAAACGCCCACACTTACTTGTTCTGTTTGTACACAATGCATATATTTGGTTATTTTTATTATTATTTTTATTAACTAACATTGTATGAGTAAAAAATCGTGTTTCACCCCCCTCTCTAATGCCTTTGGCCCGGAGGGTATTACGAAATAAACAAATGAACTGCTCAAAAAGTTTCGGCGAGGTGCTGTTTGCTTTTTGTTAAATATATTTTCAAGTACATTTCACAAGTTCGAAAAATAATGACTAGGTATTCTTGCCTCCTCCTTAGAATAACTGTATCTGTCTATTCTCGCGCATCTGTAAACAGCTGCGCTCGTGTCATATCCAACGTCCCAAAATCACAATATGATTATGAGGGATGCCGTAATGGAGGGCAAAGAAATTTCGACATTAAATTCTTCAACGTGCACCTAAACTGAAGTACACGGGCCTCAAGCATTTTCACCTCTATCCATCTATCCAAAATGCGGCCTCAGCGGCCAGTATGTGATGCCGCGACATTCGGCTCAGCAGTCGAGTACCACAATCACTAGACCACCGTGACGGGTAAGGAACATCACACAGACTAAGTTTTAAAGATGAACTAGAATTTATTCAGACAGAATTTCAAAAAAACATTAGTCCTAGTAAAAAATTGAGGTATAAGCCAGATGGAAAGAGAAGTAGCCTGCCTTGGCAACCAGAAGATCCCAGTCCGAATTGATTGGAAAGAAGAACAACGCTGAAGAAGAACAAGAGTACATTACAATGCACCAACATGGTGCCCCAAAAAGTGCCTTGTGCCACTGCAAGGACTGCTTTGTTGAGACTTCAAAGCTAGACAAAATGAAAATGAGAAGAAGAAAGAAAACGAGAAAAAGAAAAGCTGCATGGTCACAATGGCCCACTAAATCCGAAAGGTTTGGCTGCATCTCCGGTCCACCAGTCAATACTTCTTTTGAGGCAAAGAAGCCTTATGATGATAAGTAATCTGCAAGTGTGCAGCTGTCTGGGGGAGAGCTGTGTGCTAACAGCTTCTCTGCTGGTAAATCGATTTTCCAGCCAGGAAGCCATGGGCCTACATAAAAAAATCAAAAGCAGTGGCATGCTTGTGCCGATACAAGAAAAAAGCTCGAGAAGAAAAGGTTTGCACTTGGCCCGCTGTTTCTTCGGAGCGGGCATTGTTGTAGATGTCTACTTGCTGCCAGTTACGAGGAACTAAATCTTGGGCAACTTGGCTGCCTTGACCACCGGATTGTTACGCTGCAGAATGTGGCGCCCCTCTGCCTTGTAGTCGTGAGAGCAAGCATGCGCCTCTGCGTAACGGTGAACAGTGCAGAAAGTGTTTCCGCACCTGCACCAGAGCAAAAGCAACAAGATGTCAAGGAAAAACGCTCTGCAAGAGGTACATACCTTGTAAGTGAGCAGCTGCACAAACAGTGCTTCTAGTACCACAATCTCAGCAAGCCTCTTGTAGCATCAAATCTTGCCCTACAATGTGCAAGCTCACCTGCAGACATAGGTTGATGCCAGTCCAGTTTTCCTCTTGCACCAAGAGCACCGCTTGCCCTTCTTCTTGGCCTTTCCTAAGGGGTGCAGTGGATCCATGGGCATATCATCAGTCTTTGACTCTGAAGTACTGTTCGAGTCCTCGTCCACTGGAACTGGCATCAGCTCGGCTCCATTCCCAGTGCTCAGCTCACCAGAGGACGCAGCGCCCACATCCACGGACAGTGCTACATTGCTACCACTGGCAGACCCAGCCATGCCAGCAGAGTCTGCAGACATTGAGCCTGCTGAAGCACTTGATTCAGCAGGCAGTGTACCCACACTGGAAGCCTGCAAACGGGTGCACAAGCCGGTGCTTGCTACAGTAAAACCTCACTATAATGAAGAGAGATATAACAAACTAATGAATATGATAAAGCAATTGTAATTCCCCTTGAAATTCCCATAGACATTTATGTATTTGAAACCTCGTTTTAACAAAGTGAAAATTTCCTCAATGGGTTTAATGAAGCATTCTTCGTCTACTATGAGCATTTACAGATTATTTTGGTATACGTCAATACGCGTTCTAATAACGTGTTCGATGCTCTACCAACTGAGCTCCCTTGGCGGCTATCCCTCCCACCATCATTCAAAGGTCGCAGGTTCGGTTCCTGCCCACGGCAAGTTATCTTTGCACCCACTTTTCTTTCTTCACATTAACATTACTATTCAGTCGAACAACTTCCCCTATACTTTCTTTGGCATTATTGTGTGTGTATGCGTGTGTCTGTGTGTGTGGCTGTGTGTGTGTGTAAATGGCAGGTGTTCACCACAGAAGACTGTCCTTGCATGTATTTCCTCAATAGATATAACGAAGCATTGTTCATCTACTATGAGACGTGTTTGAATAACTCGTTCGATGCTCTACCAACTGAGCTACCACGGCGGCTATCCCTCCCAGCGTCATTCAAAGGTGTGTGTTACAGGCCTCGCTTCATTGTCACGAACATGACAGCTGCTGTAACATGGAAGAACCTACTGTTCTCCACAAAGCTGGCAGTGACACGTCCAAACATACAAAAGTTTGGTTTTTCCACTGTATACACCATACAGAGAAGCATACCGTGTATGACATTTACAAAGCCAAAATTAGGGCAAAGGCATACTAGAAGCTTTAGCTGGACAACAAGTAGGTGCAGCTTTTCATGAGGACATTATGTTGAATATATCGACACAAAACATCTTAATTTAAAAGTTAAGTGCTTTTGAGATCCATATCACATTTTCTCGCACATAGCCTTCTCTGCACTGCTGTGAAGCCACTTTTCTTGCGTTATGGTGATGCAAGAAACAAGTCGAAAGTTAAACTTCGACGGATTTCTTAAGAGTTCAGACATAATGTGCTTCTCAAGTGAACTGCCTACTTCCTTTCTAGTGACTCGTTATCACGTGACAGCATTCTAACACAATAGCACTGATAAATTCTAGCGATAATACAACTCTCCTTCCCCCTTATTAATACATTACAAAATCTGCCCTTTGAAATCCTAATCTACCCTAAAAAGGAATTTCAAAGAGCACTCACAGTGACAGTTGAGTCAGAAGCATCTGCTGAAGATCCTGAAGACCTCTCAGGGTTCCCACTTGGAGGGCCATTAGATGTCGGCACTGTGTTATCTGCACAAAATCGAGGGTAGTCAAAAGACAGAAAAGGATGTTTTCCAGCAGTATAGCTGCAAGTTAATAAGATCACAGAAGGTTATGGGTTGTCAAACTCATTCGCGAGTCGACTTGCTTAGGCTAACTCGCAAATGGATAATATACCCCTGAATAATAGCTAGGGTGGTCAGCTGAATACAAAGGCCAAGTATTTTATCCGAACAACAAGCCCAAGTTAACCCGAATGAGCGGACTGAATCTGAGAAAGGCGAGTGGTGAAGAAAGAAAATATTAAGTCCCGATAGATGGTAGGGTGGGCTACAAGCCTCGCTTCATTGACTATCAGCAGTACTTGGGTTCTGACGGTCTTGTCTGCGGACTGGATGGCCCGGAGCTGATCATCGGGGGTGGGACTACGCAGTGCGGCCTCCCAGCAAATGCTAGAGAAAGAATTCCCATTATTGTCACTTATCCCTTGGCATTCCCATAATATATGCTCTAGAAGTGCCCTGGATTCACTTGCTTTTGTTGCATTTGTCCATTCAAAATTAAACCGTATACATTAATTGGAAGAGCAGAGGATTTCAATGCATCCTGCTTTATAACCACTGCCATTTGACAGACGAAATTATTTTGTCAATGTTGGATGAGCAGGCAAGAATATGCCCCTGAGCCCTGTGGTTTGTTTTGCAAGCCTTTGAGCCGCGACGTGTACTCCCCAATGGCTCCAGGATGGTGTAAGCGGATGTCCATGTTACTTTTTTTTTGCACACTTGACCTCCTGGGCTTTTCTTCAAACATGCACAGTAACAATATTGCGTTAAAGCATACTGCTGCCGTAACCATGACCCTAGCATTTTTTTGACAAGGTTGCATGCCAAGTTTATGCACGAAACGAACTTAACGGTCAATAGTGCTTTTACACCCCAAATATTGCTACAGGTGTTGGTGGTTAAAATGTGCTCACGAGAACACTGTAGTTACTTTCTGTATTTTAAGGTTTCTACAACAGATGGCACCAATCGTTTCCTTGCAACCTTTTGCTATGCCTGCTTACACTAACGCAACAACCATTCTCCTCGACTTAGCATATCCGTGGCTTGTCAAAACTTCACGTGACCCTCTACCTTGCCTGAACAAAGGAGACTCCATGTCCGTTGTCCTTGCAGACTTTCACGCTTGCCGGCTTGTGTTAGTGGCAAGTAAAATGCACGGTCCTTTCATATGTCACTATGCTACCATTTTGCATTTGGAAGGCACCAGAATATTTCTCAATTCTACGAACCTCCCAGCTTGACAAAATAATTTGACTGCACTCATGAGGTCACTCAACCTTTTTTATAGTTCCTTCTTTCATATCTCTTGGGATGTGTATTTTACACTGCGCCGCACGCGGTAATGTACACCTAGTCTCACTAGAATATGTCTGCCAGCTGTGGTCCCAGGTTGAGCTTCAATGAGCTCGTCTATCATGTTGTGTAGGCGTAATTGCAGCAACTGGTCTGTGCTGGCACTAATTGGTAGCCTTTTTTGCGAGATTGCATATATATTTTTGCACCTATGTTCACCTTTTATTTACACCTCTGTTCAAATCCAAGCCGAAAAACAAAGGCAGTTTAAATGCACCTTTCATCGATCAGCGTCCAGCTGGCCAAATAATGTGGGTGTTGCACAGTGCTTTCAATCATCATCAAGATCCAACCAGTTGGCATGTGCACTATGTGATCTTGGTACAAGTTGGAAGTTGTGCTGTTTGCACCCCAGCAGCAACTACCAGCAGATTAAAGTAAACATTTTTATTGAAGCTATAATGGCACACAGATAGCCATCACTAAGGTACAAGTGCTTGCACATTCTTTACTTGTGCAGTGTTGCAAACCGCTGAAATATTATCATCAAGCATTTAGGGTGCATCCACCTTTACGGAATTATCTCATATATTGAATTTTTTTGCCATCCTGTTAACTTTTTTCATAACAAAGGTTTACTGTCGCTCAAGGTATATATTTCAATAGATTGCTTTATTTATAATATAATACTTTTCAGAACCAGAAAAGGGCCTTGCCATTACACGTACAGCCACTGGCCGGTTTCCTTAATTTGTACAAGACAGAAAAACAGTACAAAAATAAAACAGTAAAAATATATTAGTTTCACTTGGCTCAAGCGGCTTTAACAGATCAATATCCCCTGCCTTATGCTAATGTAGTAGGAGAGTAGGTTTTCTCTCATTTAGGTTACAGCGAAAACTACATATTGCAATGTGCCAGAGCATGGAGATGAAGACAAAGTAGATAGACTGGCGCGAGCTAATCTCTATGGCTGGCGCTGATCGCTTAGACGGCTGTAAATAAATCTGACTACTTCTCCGAGTCCGTCTCCTTCTCGTAACATATTTGGTGGAGTTGTGCGATCCCTGTCCTCGTCACAGAACTCGGAAGCGGACGCTTCCTCACGGCTTTCAACATGACCACGCAAGACTCGGCTATATCCTTTCCGGTCGCTGGCTCTTCTGCCCGGCCTACCAACCCAGCGCCTGCAACAACTTTCGTGACACTTCCTGCCCTCAAAGACCCTGGCGTATTCTCAGGCCGCAAGGGTTCTGACGTCGACCAATGGCTACGCCTCTATGAACGCATCAGCGCCGCTTACAAGTAAGACCCCACACTTATGCTCGTGAACGACGGAACCCCTCGTGTTTGGTTTGACAACCACGAGCACGACATTACAAGCTGGGACAGCTTCAAGGAAAAGATCCGTGAGCTTTTTGGCAAACCCTTTGGTCGCTGTGGAGATGTGAAGAATCAGTTGTCGACTCGCGCACAGTCTTCCACGGAGTCCTACATCAGTTACATTCAGGCTGTCCTCACAGTATGCCGCCAAGCTGACGAAAACATGTCCGAACTTGACAAAGTTGCGCATATTCTAAAGGGTATCGCCGACGATGCGTTCAACTTGTTGGTATTCAACAATGTGTCATCTGTTGATGCCATTATTGAAGAATGCCGCCGGTTCAACAAGCTAAAAGCAGGCGCATCTCTTATCAGTTCCAGCGCCTTCCGAACACCGCTGCGACGTCCTCGTGTCTTGACACATATCATCCACCAGACACCTGTGACAACTTGACGCGAATCGTCAGGCGGAAGCTTGAAGCGACTGCTCCAGCTAAGGTGGGACCAACGTCCCCTGACCCCTCTCCGCCAATTACGTTGCCCCTCATCCAAGCAGTCGCCCGGCAGGAAATCACCATCTTGGGAATTTACTCTATTTCACCGCCTCCCCGCACCGACTTCCAGCCCCAATACACGCCTGCACCTCCCTTCCCAACCGGCTCTCCCTCAACGTTCCGTAATCTGTCCGCATGGCGAACACATGATGACGAGCTGAGCTACTTCTCTTGTCAACGAATCAAGCACATTTCTCGCCATTGCAGAAGTCGCTGGGGTCCTCCTGCACAAGTTTCCTCTCGTACCTTCCATGCACGTCCCGCCTATCGCCATGAGACCAGCCGCGACCATTTTGGCCAGGACCCTGCTATTGAACACCACTACTCCCGCTATCCATCCCCTCAACGTTGCCAGTCTCGTTCTCCACTGCACCGCCAACCACCTTGCCCCGCCTTCCCATGATGTTCCCTTACGGAAAACCAAGTGTTGCAGCCCCTGGAGGCAGCGCTGCATCGCTCGGACTGACAGAAAATCCTCTCTTGACGATACATACAAAACGGAACCTTATAGACGTACAAGCAGACGCCGTACATGTCACTGCTCTTGTCGACACCAGCACTCAACTTTCCGTGATGACGAGTGATTTTCGCCGCAAGCTCAAGAAGGTTCTCACACCTCCGACCACTCAGTTCGTCCGTGTTACGGACGGCGGAATAGCATCTATCGTTGGAATGTGCTCCGCTTGTGTCAGCATTGCAGATCTACACACAGTTGTTCTCTTCACCGTCCTTGATAAATCGAGGTTTTTCCTTGACGTCGAGGTTTTTGACCTCAGCGGCCATCCGTTGGGGAACGCTACTGGTATGACCCACCGCATAAACACTGGTAATGAGCATGCTGTTAATAGGCGTCCATATTGGGTGTCGGCAGCCGAGCGTCATATTATCCAAAGTGAGGTCGACAAAATGCTCGCCAAGGACATCATTGAGCCATCCTGCAGTCTTTGGGCTTCTCCTGTAGTGCTAGTCTGCAAGAAAGACGGTGCATGGCGTTTCTGCATTGATTACCAACACCTAAACAAAATTACCAAAAAAGACGTGTACCCTCTGCCACGAATAGATGATGCCCTTGATTGCCTCTATAGGTCCCACTATTTTTCCCCCATAGACCTTCGTTCCGGCTACTGGTAGATAGAGGTAGATGAAATGGACCGTGAAAAGACGGCATTCATCACCCCCGATGGCCTATATCAGTTCAAGGTCATCCCTTCGGCCTTTGTAACACTCCAGCCACCTTCGAACTAATGATGCACTCCCTGCTCAGAGGATTCAAATGGTCCACCTGTTAGTGCTACTTGGACGACGTCGTCTTTTCACCAACATTTGAAACTCCTATAGAGCGTCTATCAGCCATCTTGTCGCGCTGGCCTGCAGCTCAACTCGTCCAATCAAATCACAGTACTTGATCATTTAGAAGACGCCAATGGTGTACAACCAGGCGGGGCAAAAAATCAGTACCGTCAAAAACTTTCCTGTACCACGATCTGCGAAAGATGTACGCAGCTTTATCAAACCATGTTCCTACTTCCGACGCTTTGTGAAAAACTTTCCACACATAGCGAGGCCCCTAACGCAGCTCCTCAAGAAAGACGTCCCGTTTCCATGCGGCTACAAAAAGGCTTCTGCATTCTCGACTCTCATCGTTCTTCTCACTACTCCTTCGATTCTGGCACACTTCAACCCTGCTGCCCCTACAGAAATCCCTACAGATGCAAGTGGACATGGCATCGATGCAGTGCTGGCTCAGAAACAACGTGGCCATGATTGCGTTATTGCATATGCCAGCCGCCTCCTATCCGCCCCTGAATCTAACTATTCAATCACAGAGCGTGAGTGCTTAGCTCTCGAATGGGAGGTGGCGAAAAATCAACCTTATCTATGCGGACGCCCATTTTCGGTAGTTACTGACCACTATGCGCTATGCTGGCTCAACTCTCTGAAAGATTCATCAGGCCGCCTTGGTCGCTGGGCTTTGCGGCTGCAAGAGTTTTCCTATTCGGTGGTCTACAAAGCTGGCCGCCTACACCATGATGCCGATTGCCTCTCCCGGTACCCTGTCGACGATCCTGAGGACACTGACGAGCCCACGGAGCACTCTATCTTGACAGTGTCCGACTTCCTTAACATTGGAAAGAACAGAAGCGCGATCCAGTGCTGCTTGACATCATCAGCCGTACGGAAACCTCCCCAAATGATGCTTCCATCCGCAACTTTGTCATTCAAAAGGGTGTGCTATACCGCCGCAATTTCCGGCCTGACGGGCCTGATCTTCTCATTGTTGTGCCTAAGCATTTGCGGCACTGTGTTCTCACCGAACTTCACCACGCTCCCACATCTGGACACCTTGGCGTATCCCGCACGTACGAGCGCGTCCGGCGCCGTTTCTTCTGGCCAGGCCTTGTTCGCTCGGTACACCGATACACCGCCACGTGTGACCTATGCCAACGTCGCAAAACACCGTCGCTGCTACCCACTGGCCATCTTCAACCAATTGACATACCCGCGAAACCATTTTACCGTGTTGGGTTAGACCTGCTTGGTCCTTTTCCCACATCAACATTGGGAAACAAATGGATAGCCATTATTACCGACTACGCTACACGCTACGCTATTACACAAGCTCTACCGACCAGCTGTGCAACCGACGTCGCTGACTTCTTGTTACGGGACGTTATATTGATTCACGGTGCTCCGAGACAGCTTCTCACAGACCGTGGCCATACATTTCTATCTCAAGTCATCGCCGACATTTTGCGTTGTTCTACGCAACACAAACTGACAACCGCTCACCACCCTCAAACTAACAACCTCACGGAACGATTTAACCGTACTCTAACAAATATGCTCGCGATGTACATTTCACCCAACCACCAAAACTGGGACCTTGCCTTACCCTACGCAACTTTCGCATATAATTCATCCCGTCATGACACAGCGGGCTTTTCGCCGTTCTACTTATTGTACGGAAGAGAGCCGACTTTACCACTGGACACAATCATCTCAACTCATACCTCATCCACCAGCGAGTATGCCCGCGGCGCGATTGCACGAGCCAATCATGCCTGTCAGCTCGCCCATGCTCGGCTGATGGCGTCGCAAACCAACCAATGCCGTCGGTACAATGCGGAACATAGAGACGTGCATTTCCCTCCCGGTACCCTCGTTTTACTCTGGTCCCCTCATAGTCAGCTGGGCATATCAGAAAATCTTGTTTCATTACACGGGACTTTACCGTGTACAGTGCAGTCCACTTATAACGATACCACATATAACGATATATCGGTTATAACGATGGGTCGACTTAAAAGTCTCATTTTATGCACTGGATCTATGGGGAAAAAACATATATAACGATATGTTATCCACCGCATATCGGATACAACGATGAAAAGTTTGCCGTGGACGGCATGTTTCATTCACAATAATCGTAACATTTAGATTGATAAGTTCCTCTGAAACGAACTATGCCGAGACAAGACGAAAAGTTAGCGTAGGCAAGTACGTATCTGCCGCCACTGCAGCACAGCGCCGGCAGCGCGTCCCGGCCGTTCAAAAAGCCGAGGAGAGCATCGCGAGTTGGCGCGACGTGCTACAGATGGTGCGAACTGTGTCACGTTTTGCGCCTCGCCGCGCGTCGACTGCGGAAAGGCTGAGAGAATTAAAAAAAAAAAAAAGCGAAAAGCAAAGCGCCGCGCTCCGCGGCTCCCCGCCTTCTACAACGGCAAGCCGGCAAGCTACTCGTAGCTTGCCGAACGAAAGCGGGAAAGAGAGAAAAATAAAAAAAGCGAAAAGCAAAGCGGCGCGGCGGCATCGGGGCGGGGCCTCGTTGGCATTCCGGCTGTGTACCTCTGGCTGTGCTTTCTTCCTCCCACTGCTCCCACCCCGCCGTCGGTCAGTCTCTCTTCCTCAGCGAACCCGTGATGCGTTCTTCGGAGTAAGAAATAAAGTCTAGTTTTTGACATCCTACTATCTACAATATTTATTAATTGGTGAAAATAGCGAAATGATGCCTGGAGCTACAAAATGTACGTCCGGCGACGATTTTTTTGGCGGCAGTCCAGATATAACGATCACCGGTTATAACGATCGTATTTTTAGGTTTTCTCGATATCGTTATAAGTGGACTGCACTGTATTGCATCAAGTAACACCTGTCACCTATGAGATCAGCCCCATCTATCTGCCCCATCTATCCATCATCACCTGCTGTGCGGTACAGTGATATTGTACACGTCCCGCGCATCAAGTCCTACAAGAATGCATCGGATACCGACCTTTAAAGCACCGGGACGGTGCCTCCGCCGCAGGGGGTCATGCTAGGTGCCAGTGCATGGACATAAAGAAGACAAAGCAGATAGACTGGTGCGAGCTAATCTGCTCGCTTAACCGGCTGTAAATACATCTGCGACTACTCCTCCGAGTCGATCTCTTTCTCGTAACAATATACTTTCGACCAGAGGCAATCAATGCTGATAGTAGTTGTGGACAGTACAAAAGGCGGCACCACAAAGCGAAGCGCACAAAATTTAAAGCCACACACATAAACGTGCATACCACCAAAGGGCAACACCATAGCGCAGGGCTCCAGATATCTTCGACCACATGGGTTCGTTACAATGAGCATTGAATTGCACAGGACATGGTCCTCTAGCATTTCACTTCCATCAAAATATGACCACAAGGGCTGGGATTACCGTATTTACGCAGTTCTATCGCGCCCTTGATTGTAACGCTCGCCCGATTTCCACGACGAAAAAAAAAAAAAACGTAAGACATCGATTGCAAAGCGCACCCATTTTTCTCGCTGGCCCGCACGATCACACCACTCGAAAAACTAACTCTTTTCGGGAGCGTCTTCTACTTAAATAAAAGGTACGAGGGAAGCTTGTGCCCATCTGACGTGTAATAGAGCATTGCTGTCACTGTAGTTTTATCGTGGACCGATGTCAGCAGGCGAACTTGCTTTGCCCCCTTCTTCTCGACGGTTGTGGTGCCAGGCATGTCGAAGTAAAGAGGCGTCTGATCGGCATTCCCGATTTGCCCAAGCAGGTAGCCATTGTTGTGCCGCAAGTTTAGGACGAGCCGCTGAAAACTGAAGCTTTTCATCGTACTCCTCCGCAAAACTTTTCGCGTATGCCCGTTCAACCTTTGGAGGGAAAAGCCTTTCCTCTTCATAAAGTGAGTTAGCCAGCACCTGCTCGCTTTAAACTGGCTCCGCATTAGCCCTTTTTCTAAGGCTAACTGCATAACCCGCCCTTGGAGCAGTTCTGTCGTCACGGGCCACTGTGCCGTTCGCTGCTCAAGCACATACTCGCCGAGCAGCTCTTCAATTTGCGAAAACCGACCCTGCTGCGGTCCACTGAAGTCTTTGCGTGAAGCTTTGCTGTCGACAATCTTCTGCTTTTTTTCCACCAGTCCTGCACGCACAATTCAGGAACTCCAACGACCGCGATGCGGCCCGATTTCCGTCCGTTTCTGCACACACGAGGACTTTTCTTTTAAAAGCGGCATAGTGGTACACTCGAGTTTTTGGAGTCGGCGCTTCCATGCCGTCGATGCAAATGCACAAAACTCTACAGCACACGTACGAAATGCCGCACATGGGAAACACATAGGCAGAAATGGCCAACGCGCCATGTCGACGTACATAGGGAGCGGCCATTTTGAAAATGCCGATGGCAATAGAATGATCGCATTAATTTTTTTTTTCGTACTCGATTCTAACGCGCATGCGATTTATGAACTCGCTTAACCGTAAAAAAGGTGCGCGTTAGATTCGAGTAATTATGGTACACCACACATTTCGGGTCACCTTCTAAGCACCATAACCATTCAACGATCGTAGTGGTCCAACACAACACACACAATGTCTTGAAGACACACTTGCCATCTCACTACATCCAAAATTATTACAAAAAAAAACTGAGCGAAACAAGAAAGTTACGTGCTATACTACCCACACTAAGTTGCGATGATGATAAGGCTGACAGAAATAAAGCTGGAAAAGGCAAAACCAAAAAAGCATACAAAAACTAAAAAAAAATCAGCCGTGAAGGTAGTGTTATTTGAACCACACTTTGAATTGTTATTTGAATCGTGCCCTGGTGAATTAGTACCTGAAGGTTAGAATATCAATGCAGCTTTCTTTGTAAAGGTCCTGGGCGACGAATTGATCGAATGTTTTATATCAATTATGTGCAGAGAAAGAGGCATAGGGTTCTGCATCACAGCATTACTCTTGCACGCTTGGGAGCTTTTGGTATGCGACTGCTTTTTTCTCGAATTTCACACTATAGGAGGAATCATTAAAAAGTGATTGCAACTGAAATGGCAACAATACTGCAGATGGTGCTTTTAACAAAAAAAGGCTTCCAACTGTGCCAACAGCCATAGAAAAGGAAGTGGAAATTGCACTGCGTCCCAAAGGAAGTTTTGAGCATGACTACAATTATGCCAAAGGAAGTTTTGAGCATGACTACAATTATGAATCTATGAAGTTTGTGAAATGATGCTGAAATTAAAAAGTCAGCCCAGACTCCCGTGGCATCGACATACCATGTAGTACGTATGCCTTCCAACGTGCACAGAGCACCACCAATCCAGGCTGTGTAATGATGAAAAGCATTAATCGAGCTACTTTCAAACTTAAACAAGCACAACCGTTCTAAAGAAATTTCTCAGTGTATCTGGTTAATGCGTGTAACGAGGAAATTTAGTTGGCCTAGTGCACTCACTCGGTGGAGGAGTCTTGCGGTTGTCCCCATCGTTATCAGCGGCGAGACGTGCAAAGTGCGACTGATCGGTGATCAGCTCCTGTTCTAGATTCCACAGCTCATGCGGATCAACACACTTCAGCACCGGGAGCTCTCGCATTTGCGATGGTGTCAACATAGCAGCATGGCGTGCAGCATTTCCCAGGGCCTGGCAAATGCCTTCAGCAATTCCAGCTGAGAAAGACAAAAGATATGCTGCCAAGTTTACTGCTAGGTGCGTTGATGGCCATGCTCAAAAGAAAACACCTCACGCAGCTTGACATATTACACTTCTGATAATCAAACAAGTAGCATTTAGAAAGGATAGACGCTGCTATGGTGCAAAATCAAATGACAAAAAGACACCTTGCATGGTCACTTATGCGTTTGCCCAAGATGATTCGAAGGCAAAAGCCATCCTGGGTGGCTGGTTTGCTGGCCACTTTGTATCACGCTAACACAATTCATTCTCAGTCACACAAATTACGCAAGACGAAGCAAAGCCACAGCTCACATAGTCTTGTGACATATGCGCTTTATTTATCTCTTTTTTTACTCATGTGAACATTTTTCAGCACCGGGAATGGCCCTTGCTATTACAAGTACAGCTGCTGGCCGGTTTCCTGAATTTGGACAAGACAGAAAAACAGTCCAAAAATAAAACAGCAAAAATATATTAGTTTCACTTGGCTCAAGCAGATTTAACAGATCAATATCACCCTGCCTTAAGCTAATCTAGGAGGAGAGCAGGTTTTCTCTCATTTAGGTTATAGTGACATCTACATGTACTTTCGACCAGAGGCAATCTACTATATTGGCAATCAATGCTGATAGTAGTTGTAGAAAGTACAGAAGACCCAGTTTTTTCTGGCACGACTTAAATCTTACTCGTCGCAGTGTTCGCAGCTGCAGTGATTGATATGTAAGGTTTAACATTAGCTTTTCACAACCAAAGGGGCATTTATCTGATCAGAGTGCGAGGTCTGCTGATCAAATAGCATCTAGCACATTCTGTAGGTAGTGTGGATGTTGTTCGAACTTTTCAGAGAAGACGACTACATCATGGATTGATTGATTTGTGGAGTTTAACGTCCCAAAGCCACGATATGATTATGAGAGACGCCGTAGTGGAGGGCTCTGGAAATTTCGACCACCTGGGGTTCTTTAACGTGCACCCAAATCTGAGCACACGAACCTACACCATTTCCGCCTCCATCGGAAATGCAGCCGCCGCAGCCGGGATTCGATACCGCGACCTGCAGGTCAGCAGCCGAGTACCTTAGCCACTAGACGACCGCGGCGGGGCTCGTCATGAGTCGGAAGTCTTCAGCGAATAATTCACCAGCCTCCAAACTTTCAGGTAAGCTACATCGCAAAAAAAAGCATGGTTCTCAGTTTTACATGTTTGGTTGTTGCAGCTTGGCATGAAAGATTGGTTCTTGGGAAGTTCCAAGATAAAACAAGCTTCGGAAAAGAGCAGACACACAAGAAAAATGCTTTTTCTGTTGTTTCTTTTATCATATTTATTTATTTAATATCTTTAATGTGAGAAGCTCTCCCTGTATGACGTTTTTTATTACCGCATATTGTATGCTATGCTTCCACAAATATTACTTCTACCCTCACATGCGAAGGTGAAAAAGTGAAAGCAAACCTTGACAGCTTTGCGAAACTATTGATGTATGGTCTCTCTCCCAAGGCAATCTGGATAGCTTAGCGAAAACTCATCGTGCAAGCAGACGACTCTTCTCGCGTCTGCTGCTCCGGCTCGGCAGTTCGGCTGTGGTTCAGCAGGTGGCGCTGTCATGACGTTCGCCGCCTCTCCGGGGAGTGACACAATAGCGGCGCGGAAAGGAGCAGAGTTTCTCCTCCTGTCTATTCTTCCTCCGTGTGTCAGGTCAGCTGATCTTGCATATAGCCTCGATCGCAGGCACGTACTGCTTGACCGTGGCTGTTCTCTGGTGTTGCCATTAGCCGTTTTATTGCCAGTCTTTGCGTTCATCAGTCGCATGGGCACCTGTTTGCACCGCTGCTTGAACAACCGATTTCGATTTTAACGCCACTTCTGACCGATGGCACCGACACCGTTATCTCCGCGTGCCTCGTCATCAGCTTCAAAGCAAGGTAAATACAGCCGATTGAGAATGGAGAAGAAGACCGCCATTGTCAGACAAGTGCGAAGTGGCCGTTAACAAGCGGACGTCGCAGAGAAGTTAGAAATCTCTAAGCAGACGATCTCGGACTACCTTGAAGACAAGGTGAGAATCCTAGAAGCTGCCGAGAAGTCGGCTAGAGTGGGACTAAAGAATGTAAGCCAAGGTGCCCACCCAAAACTGGAGGAAGCTCTCCTCATATGGTTGAAAGGCATGATTGCCAGGCAGGTGCCGATGTACGGCGATCTTAAGAGAAAGGCAGAAACTCAAGTGTTTCAAATGAATTTTAAGGGGTGCGAATTCAGCGACGGCTGGGTTCCAAATTAAAAAAAAAAATGACTTAAGCTTCAAGAAAATATGTGGCGGGAGTGCGACGATCGACCAGTCAGCCATTGAACTGCCAGAGCAGTCTTTTCTCTGGCAGTTCCCGTCCGAAGATACATTTAATTGAGACGAAACCGGGTAGTTTTATAAGTTGCTGCCTGAAAAAACCCTTGCTTTCGCCGGGGACCATTGTCACAGAGGCAAGCATAGCAAGGAGCGCCTGACAGTTCTTGTTGGCAGCAACATGCTGGGTACAGAGAATCTTCCGATGCAGGTTATTGGAAAATCAAAGAATCCCAGATGTTTCAAGGGAGCGTGCATTCCTGTGTTGTACGAAGCCAAGAAGAAGGCTTAGATTACACAGAAGCTTTTCGAAGAGTACATTCACATGCTGGACAAAAAGTTTGAGTGGCAGGGACACAAAGCTTTAATGATGGTGGACAATTGCGCTGCACACGGCCATGTGAAGGACCTCAAAGCCATGCAAATGAAATTCTTGCTACGACCAATCCTACAGCCCATGGATCAAGGCATTATCCCCAAGCTCAAATAGCTCTACCGATCATGTGTGCTTAGTCGCATGGCACTATGCATGGACAAACACAAAACCTACTCAGTTGACTTGCTCTCCGATTCTTTCGGATGCATAAAAAGCCATAACTGAAAGCACAATTTGTAATAGTTTCCACGACGCGGGTTTCGAGGGTCGGGGATGAAGTGCCGTTGTTATCTGGTAACAGTAGTGAATCTGATCTACAGTGTTCATCAGCTGATCTCATGGAACATTTGCGCCCCGCAGGCACTGTTTTCATGGAAGCGACGCTGGAGAAGTTTGCTAATGCTGACAACGAAATTGAGCACTCTGTGCCGAGCTGACCGACGATGAAATAGTTCACCAGGTGCCGGAAAACGATGACTCGGGCTCCGACACGAAGGAAAGTGACGACACTATCTACGTGTGAACTGTGAGCGTTCATGGTGCTTTCCGCTGTTTACAGCGAGAACACCACCCTCGCCGATATGCAAATTGACCTGCTGGTACGGCGACGCAACGCCCCTCAGAAACGTATTGAGCATTTTTTCAAGCCGCCCGGTCAATAAAGCGACTTTTTGTTTTTTTGTTTGTGAATTCTTTTGCTCGAACAGCCCGATTTTTCAGACGCTTTTTTGGCCCCTTGAGGGTACGAAAAATAGGTCGGCAACCCTATTGGGGTTCAAGTGCGTACTAACCATAACGCCGCAGAGCTATGTCTAAAGCTGACACTGCCACTGCTATTACACACACCTGATGGAGGAGGAGGAGGCTTGAGTGCATCGACGAGGTCCTTGCGGCAGGCGTCCAAAGCAGCTGGAGGCATCTCGAGAAGTGTGGCTGGCGAGACTGGACGCAATGGCTTCGAGAAGGCTGGCCGTGGACTTGGCGGGCCAGAGGCCAATGGCACGGGCTTGACAGGCACAGAGCTAGGCGGGGCGGATCCTCCAGTTACCTTGAGTACTGCACCTGTCGGAGCCTTGGCATTGCAGGCACGGCCTTTGTCAGGAGTGTATGGTGGGGACACAATGGGACGGGTTGTCTTGCTGCGTTGGACCACAGACACGCGCACGAGACTGCAAAATACCCAAATTTCAGTTTAGCATCACACTTGGTCTATAGCACACATTCAGTCCACGTCACAGTATTTCCAACAAGTGAAAATTAATTTAACAGCAAAGGGTGTCGTAGTGGCTACAGCATACCGTATTTACTCGCGTAATGAATCCACTTGCATACTGAACCCATCCCCCACTTTGGTTCTTGAAAAAAAAAAAAACTTTTTTCAATGTATCTGTTCATTTTATTTTGATATGATAGCCAGTGCCATTGACTTATCAAAACAATATTAAATCAAGCCATAATATCACAACATAACAATGTAATAAAAGTCAAAACATAGTTTAGCAACCATTCTAAACAGTTGTGTGAAGCGCGAGTGCGGACGACGCCAATCGATATTTGAAAGTCGTGTTTTTTGCGGTAAAGTGCCATCTGTCACACAAAAACAAATAGCAAAGTGACATCTGGCACAAAAACAAAGAATGTGGCCTCCAAAATGGTGGGCGCGCGGCATAGAAACACGCCCGCTCCCCCACCACCTTGGAGGTTATGCAAAGTGCGACCGCTATGACGGCGCTTCGTGCACTCGTAACGTCTACCACAACATTTGTGTGCCATCCGATGCTGCGTTTTAGTTCTCGAGCTTGTCCTCGTGAGCTTCTTTGGGAGACCTGCTGCGCAGAATGCGTTTGGCCGGTACACTAGCTAAATGGTAGGTTACGAACAGCATGCGCTGTAGCATGAGAACCGAGCGAAAGGACGGCCCTTCGGCGTCAATTCGTGCGCTTTTGTTACGGGAGGAAACAAAAAGAGCTTCTGGCTACAAAAAAGATCTGTTGCGCATTTCTCGGGCCAAAACAAGCAAAGCTGTCACGCGAAATTTTCGCTGTTATAAGTACCGTGCCTTTTTTTCTTTTGCGTAATGAACCTTTCCCTCAAATCGGCATCAACTTTTCTGAAGAAAAGATGGGTTCATTTAGCGAGTAAATACGGTAGTTTCAATATCGTCTGCAGAACAGCAAACTGCAGGCAAATTTTTGAAAGAAATATACTTTCTTGGTGCACAGGAAACGTTTCATAAAGAAGGCAGAAAGAACAAAGTGCACCTTTTCAGCACTGTCTTATCAGTCTTCTTTCTGAAACGTTTTCTGCTCACTAAGCGAGCATATTTCTTTTATCAATGCAATACCAACCAACCAAGTAGCCACTCTTTTGCTGGCAAAGTTTTCTCAGTTCAGTTACACCACTAAAAAAGCAAAAAAAAAGTTTAATGTGAAAGTGAAGAATGGCCACGAGTATTGCTTGTTTCCATGAACTGCCTGCATAATCGAACGGTGCATCCACATCCCCCCTCACTGGCTGTACAACTGTTGGCAGAAAGTTGAGCGAAGCGATTACTCGGCAATTCTGTTTGGTTTTATGCTTAGTCAAACCTGCTAAGCAGTTGTTTTTTTTTTTTCATTTCAAGCATCATAACTATGAATATTACATTTGCAAAACAAAACTGACAAAACCATTCTTGCACAATCCAAGTTTCACACACTGTTTAAAACTGGTCCTAACGAAACACTGATGTGTTGCTTCCCGACAAACCTAGAAGTCATGTACACCAAAATTCCATGGTACTGCATTACTGTACTGACATGTGGAGAGACCTACATGAGAATTCTAACAATGGAAATATCCACCTCAATAAACCAAAAAACTAACCGTGGTGAAGCCCGAGGCTGAAAGTCACTCCAGTCAAGGTCGAGTGGCTCAAAAATTGAAGCCACAGCAGCAGCCAGATCTTGACCAAGCTCTCTTTCACAGTCGGGAGACAAGCGGGGCAGGAAAGCCTGCTCCTGAAGGCCCAAAGGGGGCCGCACCTGCAACCAGCAGTCCACATCCCCATATATCTTTGGCAGACGATAGCCATGAAACAAGGACCATCAGCACAACAGCCAGTAAATATTGTAACCAGATCGCACAAAAAAATTGAATAGGGATGTGGGAAGGGTAGTCTACTTTTACTGATGGCAATGTGGCAACTGAATTTCGACCCAGTGGTCGCAATTCAGTTGTAGTTGGGAAGTTGTGCACAAGTGTAAAACGACCATGGAGCCCTGAGAATTTTTCGAAGCAGTGCCGCAACAGCGGAGTCAGACGTGTTTGAATATCAAAGCGCGGCAATCCCTCCTTTTATCTTTATTCCTTCACTACCCTTCGTTGGTATTCTCTACATTAGCCATTTTGCTCTCTTGCCGATGCCCCTCCCAATCTCGTGCAGCATACGTCATCGCCAACGCACTGCTCAAAACACCGTCTATTTGCAGTCGCCCCGACTCCGTCTCTCCGTCGGCTCAGTCAACTGTTTGCTTGTAGGCGAACCGCTGCTGCCAAACCAGCCCAAGCTTATACGAATCATGCCGGTATGAATCCCGTGTTGCGGAAGTGCGCACACTCATGCGGGCAACACGCTGACGAACAAGCAGCGCGGACAGCTATTTGCAGACAAACCAGAATCACAGCATATTTGTGCTGCACATTAGAGATTCAACTTCTCAACGACATGCTGAGGCCCAAAAGGCCGGTGAGGAGGAGGAATTGCTGCTTGGAATTTCTGGCAGGCCGGCATCTTGTAGCGCTACCACGTGTGAAATCGTTAATCGTGACAGCATTCTGCACATGATGTGCGTTTACATGAAATGTTTGAAAAAATATCAGAGGTGGTTTTTAAAACCCTTTAAGCCCCAAAAAAGTGAGTCAGATGCACAACATGTCTATTATGCTTTATTAGCAACAGGCGGAGGCAGTGTTTTCAAAATCCCTTGCTACCTCGCTTGCCCCAGCAGCCTTTGAATGCTTTAAAGATAAAAGTTAGCATGTGATGAGTCACCCCATCTAATTAATCCTTCTATGGCATCCTCACCTTTACTTAGCTGTCAGCTTTAGCATACATGGTTCTGAGAATGCAAGAGTGAGTCAGGAAGGCTCAACCTCGCATGATTCCCTTTGCACCCACAGCGAACGGCTCACAAGATGCAATAACACGTCATGCTGGAGGTGGATGCAGCATTCCGTTATTGTTCCAAGAGTTTAAAGCAAGTCAAGTTCGGGGTGCAGAGCCGGCATGAAAATAGATTTTTTCTATGCATACACCATGGGGCACATGGTACTCAAACAAGTGCACCAGCTCACATCTGTTTTTCTTTTCCATCATTTTGGGCCTTTTTTCTTTCCTACGGAGACACTGAAGAGTTACATTTAATTGTTAATAACTAACAAAGCAATGAAGGAACATTGTCACTGACGGTTTACTTCACCAGAAAATGCATACAAAAATTTCAAGGTGCAGCAGCTGCTCATTGATACAACAAATGTATTACAGTCCAGCCCCCCTATAACGGCCCCACTTAAAACTTTTTCTTAAGACTAACAAAGCCCATGTGACAGTAGAATTATACATTGTTTCAATGGCACAAAATCACACTTACGACAAACGTCTCAATCGTTTGCAGCAAACTGAGCTGGTGCAACTTCCTGGGAAACCACTTTTGACCACCGATAAGCCATTGGCGAGGCGCCCATAGATTCTTATTACTAAAATGCCGACCTTGCCTCCACAGTCCTCTAGTTGACGCTCTCCCTGGCCATTTTTTCGTTACGCGCTCCCTCCATCCTTTCTCAACCTGCCACTCTGAGCACCCCACATCACTAGATCAGGCCTGTGTTTTCACACTGCCACCGATCTTTCGCAAGACCGGTCGGCTGACTAGTCTCCCCTCAGTTTTTGATCACTAGTTTTGTTACACTATAGTTGGAGTTGCCAACTCGCCGGCCTGGAGTGATCAGACCATTTGCTAACATTGTCGGTCACCGACTGTACCCAATCGTCAGCGTCTGAATTGGTGTCACATTTTTCCTGTGAATGCGTTTGTGCTACCCCACCGAATGTGCTAATTTGAGATTTGTTCCATGTTTAGGATCTGTTCGCTCACTTCGCATTCTGCTGCGCATGCCCTAGGCACGCATGCGGAAGCGTAAAAATGGCTGTAACACGAATGAATAGCAAATTATCTAAGTCAGCGGGCACCACAATGCGATACTTTGACCTCTGTCCGCGTAAGCCACTCTTCCAAGTTTTCCTATGCGCGAGTTGCGAGTTTCGTAGACCTTGCAAGCAAGTTACCTGACAGGCCAGTACCATAGACATGGTTAAGCACCTTGTGGGCAGGGGAAGTGGGCTTAAAAGGGATAGAGAGGTTTTAGTTTCCAAGGTCACCTTCCCTCTCCGCTCTATCCCAAATCCTTCGCTCTGCTCTCCTCTCTTTATTGCAACTGGTTAGCCTGTCTCCACCCCTCAGCTACTGCCTCTTTAAATAAACTCCAAGACCATCCTTAAGGCTTCTGGTCTTTAAAACTTTTTTGGGAAAAAGAAATGGTGTTTTCACCCGCAATTATTTTTTAAAGCTGCGTTTCATTTACTACGAACTTCAAGATACAGCGAACGGATGCGGCGTCCCGGTCAGGTTCACTATAAGCGGGCTCAACTGTACTTAACCAAGTATCGTAAGTAGATTTTACTGCATATCAAACTCAAAAAGCATTGCCAAAGAGTAATCTTGGCCATGGTTTTCTGGACCAATGAACTGCGATTCGAAATCCCATGCAAGGAAGTAAGTGTGACCAGAGGGACTGTTTCATTTACTACGAACTTCAAGATACAGCGAACGGATGCGGCGTCCCGCTCAGGTTCATTATAAGCGGGCTCAACTGTATTTAACCAAGTATCGTAAGTAGATTTTACTGCATATCAAACTCAAAAAGCATTGCCAAAAAAGTAATCTTGGCTATGGTTTTCTAGACCAATGAACTGCGATTCGAAATGCCATGCAAGGAAGTAAGTGTGACCAGAGGGACACCCATAACATAAAAGGCGCTAGCTAGTGTATTCTGTCTCATGCATCTCGTCTGTTTTGCGCTCTTAAATACCAACATGAATCAGTACGAACTCACCCAAATATCTGTGCTTCTGGATACCTAAATCTAAGTACACTGGTTTCACACATCTATCCCGCAACCTGCGGGTCAGCTAGAGGGATGCCAAAGTGTTGTAGCTAAGCAAAAATTCAGCCAGTTTCACGTCATAAATGCTGTCTGACAAAAGCTGTAAGCGCGGGAGTGTATTTTATTGGCAGGTAAGATCATGTGGTGTTGCAAATCTGCCGCTAGATTGAAAATATACATACTCCCACTCGACTGGTCAAAGTAGGGTCATATGAGCAGTCAGCTCGGGCAATGGTGACAAAATTTCTTTGAAGGTCATGTGGTGCCTCAAATCTACGGCTAGATCTAAAGTGTGCCCAATTATAGTGAAACCTAGATATATTTACATGGACGAATTCCTGAAAAATTCTTTACAAACACGTGTTCATTACATGCAGTTTCAGCGCAAGAACTCTGAAAAAAAATTAATGGGGGACGTAGCATCGGCGTTCCGAAAAATGGCAAAAAAAATTATTTTTTAAAAATCAAGCTTTCAGTTTCTAGAACCCTTTTCCTATACGATTCCAAAATATCTACCCTGAAAACCGCGCAGAAATGCTTCGAAAAATTCGTTTCAGCCTCCTAGCTGGCAAAAGTTTTTCTGGAAATGGCAAGAAAACAACGATTTTCAAAAAATTATAGCTTCGCGAGGGCGCGGCCGGGAGCAGTCTTCTTGGGCTCATCAGAAAGAGCGTTTCTCCATGTTCATATTTCCTGCCTCATCCCGCTCCTTTTAAAAACAACTGCACAAAAAGCAAATATTTGAACGTAGTTTCGAGGCTCCTGATTGGCTGTGGCCGCCATGTTGCCACAGCTCGCCTCGCCATTGGTCCGATGCTTGCTCCAGGAGATCATCGTCTGCTGCTTGTGCGTCGCGAGGACATGGCTATCAAAAATTGCTACTTGATGACGTGTTCACAGCTCGACGATCACTTAGGATATAATTAAGCTTTAGTTAGGAGCTGCAAGCGGATGCACGATCAGAATACTAGGAGCGGGCACGCGGTCTATGAGCGCGATGCGTCATCGCGAACGGGCGCGCAGTCTACGAGTGCGGTGCTTTATCGGAGCCCCGGCGGGCCGGTGCCACTCCGCACCTGGGAGGACTGGGAGACATCGTTACACTTTTGGGACCTGGCGAGGCAGAAGATCGCCACCAACTGTACTGCCAGCGTCATGAACTTATTAAACACGAACGTTTGAGTGTGGTGTGGTCGACGCGGGGACCCAGGAAGCCAGGGAGGTCCTGAATTCCTCTGCAATAAAGTTTTTTCGACTCGACTCTTCTTTAGGCCAAACTTTGCTGACGACGAGACTGCGGACAAGAACAACGTGCTAGCGCACTCCTGGCGATGCGCTTCTTCCCAAGCAACGAAGCTGTAAGCGGATTCACAATCAGATTACTACGAGCGGGCGCGTGCGGCGGGTGATTGGAGTTGTCTTTAGGCCTAACTCTCGCTTACGGCGAGACGAACTTTGCGGACAAGAACGTTGCACTAGAGCACCTGTGGCAACGTGTTTCTTCGTAAGCAACGAAGCACATCAGTCACTAGCCCCTCGGAATAGCGGCTAGTAGTTTTACACATCGGCATTCCAAAATGCAATAACAAGCGCAGTGCGCGCCAGTTTTTTCTCATCGTAGGTACACATTTTACACATCGTCACCGAACACCGCCGGCAACTGTACCACACGCCGGCTGCGCTGTCCACGCGACTGCGCACTTCACAATCATATGAAGGGCTGTCATTAAGCTTTTGTGATGCAATTTAGACATGCTTGGAGACTTGCTTGGTATCACCGCGAGCGTCTATGAATGTTCTGAGACAATGAAAGCCTCGTAGATTAGCTTTTTTGTGGCTGGCCGTATGATGATGCGTTTCACGGCTGGAGTGGCAAAAGAGCATGTATGAAGCAGGGGCCCAAGTTTTTATATGCCCCACTCGCGTCATTAAATAAACTGCTAAAAAATTTCTGTGCCATCAGTTTTCTCTTCATAACTGTTAGTCATTTGGAAAGAAGGCACAGGCTATCATGATGTGAGCCATTTTTATGCAATAAACTTCTCTCTACAAAAAATTTTCAGTGATTATTTGTAATCAACAAGTACCTAATTATGCTAATGACAGCTTGAACACAAAAAAAAATGTCTAATCATTATTTAGCCTTATTCAATAACAATCTATTCTGTCATGCCTACTATCACACCACTCCTTCATACAGAGTATACTTGGTTTGAAATCCATACTTGTTCTTTGTAAATAAAAAGAAAGGTTATGAAGAAAAAATATATGCAACAAAGGCACACTGGGCAGAGGCCAGATGCCTGAGGTCAAATATCACAAGAAAAACCTCATGATTACAATTTTTAGGTGTTTTAGAGACGTAAAGAGAAGGTGAAACTTCAAATGCAGTTCTCTCAATACTGGGTTTTTTTTTTTTTTTTTTTTTTTTGCATTACGCTCAGCTCGTGGAGCAGATATCTCGGCAGGAACTGCACACAATTTGATTCCGTTTGTTTTGTAACTCTCCTTGAACTGTGCTTCAGGGGGCTGTGATCTTAGTTTTACTGCGATAGCAATCATATAGACACTCTTGGCTGGATTTTGTCGTTGGCGTCAACGCCGACGCGGGGCACGTTTGGATCTGCTTGTCATTCTGTGCGTGACTTTACTATTTGTTGCTATTGCGTTCATTGCTTCGCCTTTGCGACAAAGCTGTGCCTTTTTTCATTTTACTCCCTAAAAAACTTTCTAGTAGGGTTCCTTGTTTGTAGTGCAGGTGTGCTCATTGCAGTTTCGCTGGGGAAAAATGTTAACTACAAAATTTCGTGATGCAAAAATATGTTGGAAAACGTAGCCCCCTTCAGCATTCATTTGGCTGTGCGTACAGTAATCACCAACTATTTCTGTCATTTTAAAAACATGCCAGCCCCTCCACAAGGTTCAATAAAGAAATAATTTGTATCTCATTAGGTTTTTGTGTTATCGCCTCGAAATTTTCATGGAAGCACTGTGAGGCCATTTTTAGTGTCTGCCGATTTTCATCAACATCTAACAAAAAACAAGCAAGTTCGTTTTAAAAGGCACATCCCCCCTTAAACAAAAATGAAACTGAAGGCAGAGCTCACTTGAAGGTTCATTTAGAAGCAAAAAACTACATTTTGCTCCATTGCATGTTAATGAAAGATTGCAATACGGAACATTCAAGGGACATCAATACAACTTGGCTCTGTTATTGCCCAGCCGTGGCCTACAGCATCAGCTCTGCCAACGTGACAGCTAATCGCGGAGGCCACTGTCTACTGAAACCACAACGTAGTGCACTATGGCAGAGCGCCTGGCAAGTCGACTTCCAAAGATTAGCTGTCACCATGGTCTGCAATTGTTTCCACCATACCAGTGCCCCCGTGCCCGGTGCGCACTGATGAAAGCACCATACGTGGCAAACTTATTCATGACTCTAAAAAAAGTAAGCAGACGGCACTGCATTTACAAACGTCGTATGTGTTTTTGCATTTCTCACCTTCCTTCAGTGAAATAAGCACCGTTCGTCTTTATGTGTTGTGCCCGAAACTTCAAGAAAAGTCTATTAACAATTGCTTGGGGTGAGGTACTCAAACACGAAAAATCACCTGCAACACGGTTTTCCTCGTTTATCACAAGGCCTCATGAGCAAGAGTGGTGGAAGCACTAAATTGCCGCTGTTCACTGGGAAAGGCAAGCAGCTTCGTCAATGTGCGAGCTAATGAGCCACTTATTGTTCTCGTGTTTTTGTCCTGCCATACTGATCATTGAATGAACTCCACCATGTTGACACTGGTAAGCAAAGAAAGTTATCGCAGCTTGTGCATGTCCTCGTTCTGTTCGACCGCGGTGCGAGGACACTTCGCTCATTCTGTGTTTATTCTTTACAAAAACAGCATTTCAGGAATACGGTCAAGTTCAGGAAAAAAAGGAAGTGACCGATGTCGCATTTGTAAAGAAGACAAGTGTATTTTCACCATCGACACCTCATAGCTGGGCCTTGTACCACTGGTCTGCGCGACACACCTTTCATATTCACCGGCTTGACTATTCACTCCATGCAGACAGCAGCGCCGGCAATTCATTCCCATAGCAGTCGGCCATCACGCCCCCTCGATAACCTGCATACCTGTTTACTGAATGACTACTCACTGACTGACCCTCTGTTGCCACACGGTTGGGTTTGGGAAGCTTCTACATGATTTGTTTGTACGCATGCTTCAAAAGCTAGGGAAAGGGCTAGATACTTCTCACAGATTTTTGTGCGGAATCAGATGGTGTCCCTTCGATTTCTCGAATTCTTCCGATCTTGCACGGGCGTTAGGCAGTCTTGGTCGCGTGTTCTGCAGAGAGAGTAAAGGGCGTGCTTCGGTGCCTTTACCGTATTTACTCGATTCCACCGCGCCCTCGATTGTAACGCACACCCGGTTCCGACGACGAAATAAAAAAAAAAAAAGAGTAGGACATTGATTGCAACGCGCACCCATTTTTCTCGTTGGCCCGCACGATCACACCCCACTCGAAAAAACGACTCCTTTCTGGACAGACTTCCATTTAATTAAGAGGTATGGGGGAAGCTTGTGCCCATCTGACGTGTAACAGAGCATTGCCGTAACTGTAGTTTTACCGTGGACCGATGTCAGCACGCGAACTTGCTTCGCCCCCGTTTTCTCGACAGTTGTGGTACTAGGCATGTCGAAGTAAAGAGGCGTCTGATCGGCATTCCCGATTTGCCCAAGCAGGTAGCCGTTGTCGTGCCGCAAGTTTAGGACAAACCTCTGAAAACTGTGAAGCTTTTCATCGTACTCTTCCGGAAACTTTTCGCATATGCCCGTTCCCCTTCGAAGGGAAAAGCCTTCATCTTCATAAAGTTAGTTAGCCAGCACCTGCTCGCTTTAAGCTGGCTCCGCATTAGCCCTTTTTTTTTAAGGCTAACTGCATAGCCCGCACTTGGAGCAGTTCTGTCGTCACAGGCCGCTGTGCCGCTCGCTGCTCAAGCACATACTCGCCGAGCAGCTCTTCGATTTGCGGAAACCGACCCTGCTGTGGTCCACTGAAGCCTTTGCGTGAAGCTTTGCTGTCGACAATCTTCTGCTTTTGTTTCCGCTAGTCCCGCACGCACGTTTCGGGAACTACGAACGACCGCGATGCGGCCCGATTTCCGTCCGTTTCTGCACACGCGATGACTTTTCTTTTAAAAGCGGCATCGTTGTGCACTCGAGTGTTTGGAGTCGGCCCTTCCATGCCGTCGATACTAATGCACAAGATGACGAACTCCTCAGCACACGTACGAAGTGCCGCATATGGGAAACACATAGGCAGAAATGGCAGACGTGTCATGCCGACACACGTAGGGGGCGGCCATTTTGGAAATGCTGATGGCAATAGAATGACCGTATTCATTTTCTTTTTCGTACTCTATTCTAAAGCGCATGCGATTTATGAACTTGCTTAACCGGAAAAAAGGTGCGTGTCAGATTCAAGTAATTACGGTATATGCTTTTTTTGATGGGTGCACTCTGTCGCCACCCTTGATTCGTCTGCAATGGGTTTTCGTGCAGTCATTCGAAACCGCTGACGCATGCTTGGTTAAGCGCTCACTTGTGACAAATACGGGGCACCAGTGCACTTTCAAAGAGCCCCGCATTTTCCCTGTAGCTGCCAGGTTAGAATTAGTTGTCCGGCACCCTTACAACGGGGAAATCGCAGCCGCAAACTTTATCCATCCCTTCACAGCAAAGCATTCTCGTCTGCTTGGCTTCCCAATACATACCGTCACCAGCACCAGCTAAGTGGCTACTGGTGGTATACAGGCAGCGAACTAGAGATATTCTGCATCTCCTCGGTAGTGGCGGCATTTTAGGGCACTTTTTTTGCGATTTCCGCAATAATGTGTGCCACCTCGGCAGGCACAAAACATTTTTTTGAAGCATTTTTACATAGTTTTCACTGACTATATTTTGAATATATTTTGGAATCGGAGAGAAAAAGAGGTATAGAAACTGCAAATATATTTTATATATAAATAAAAATTGATTTTTTTATACTTCGTCATTCTTTCACAGTGTTTGTAGCTTGCAATTAACTTCAGTTGTAACATACCGATTCAGTGTTTACATTAAAGTCTCTGGTAACAGTATCTGAATTTCATATAATCCCCATAGAACAGACCAAAATCATCTTTCTATAAAGGTTTACTGCCTTGTAATGAGGTTATACTGCACTTGTATAAGTTAATGCCTTGTGGTGAGCATACCTCATAGCGTGTAGGCTCTGCAGCGCAGGCGGCGCCCCCTTCTTCAGGCAGTGAGGCACAAGGGGATGATGATGAATCCGCTGGTCCAAGAGTCGCCAGCAACAGATACTTAATAAGAAGTGACAAAAAAAAATCAATTTTGTTGTTACATAGGCATGATTTATTCATATTAACATAAAACAAAATCCTTTAAAAAACACCAATACTACTTTTCATAAATAAAAATTATGCATTGTATTCAACTTACCTCACAGACAGTCAAATAAGCATACCCGAGTACTTTTCCGGTAACAAAATGTTTTGCTTCTAACAAAAATCTGGGGAATAGTTACTTTAATCTGGTCTTAATTGTTTCACTGTGCACACTTTCGAGGAGTCGCTCCATTATTGTCAGTCTGAACTCGTTAAAGGGACCCTGAAATGAATTTTTGAAGTTCTGTCAGCGCTTAGGCTAGAGCCTCACTAAATCATTCACACTACAAATTTAGTGACACGCCTTATACCAAGGCCGCTACAGACAATTATATCATACCCTCCTTCTCACCTCTACCTAGCCTCCTTATCTCATGAGGCACGCTGGCATCGCTGGCGATCACAGAGATCTCATGAGAGTGCTCGACAATTTGAGCTTTTACCAGTCTAGACCTCAGAGATGGCACGCGGACAGGTTGCGCGCAGTCTCGGAGGCCATCACGTAGTGCACCCAGCAGCACGCACGCCGTCTGGCAACAAGGACGAAGACTGCGGAGTGGTTAATATCTGCTACAACAGGTGCCGCCACCCTAGCAGCTGATCTTACTTTTGCGTATTCTACCATCTATGACAGCCAATCAGATCAGCAGCCACCGTGAAGTGGCCAGAGCATGTTGCTCTGTGAATGGGCGGTTGTAATCGCGTTTGGCAGAGTCGCAATGATCTGCACTGATCTGCAGCGATTCACAGCTTTAAAGCATAGTAATGAATTCCACAGTTCATGCAGGAGATCAAATCAATTTCTAAATAACCCATGAGACTTGGTCTACCAGCCCAATGTGTTTGTAAAAAATCACCAAAATCATTTCAGGGTCTCTAAGTAAATCCTTGTGTGACGAACTGAAATCCAATGAACCAGATCCAGCACATGAGAAAATAGTCCACATCGAAAGAATCGCCGCTCGAGTCCTTAGCGCCACAGCAGCTTGTGCGCACCTCTATAACGTAAGCGAACTGCGCGAGTGAGTGCACAAAAAAAAAACGGTTGTGTGCCCGTTCAGAAAGCAAATCACCAATGAAACGGAGTCAGTTTTTCAGTGCCCCCAACACAGAAAATGCAACCACAACATCGTCATATGTCTAACTTAGACCTGCATGGAAAGAGATGTATCATGCCCTGAAAAGCAATAAACAAGAGTCACAAGCGGTCACATTTTGAGACATTAGAAACCAAACAGCCATCAACTTCGCAGGCGCGAGAAACAATAACCACTTGAAGAAGAAAACCGAAACCAGCCGCACCGCCTACACACGTTCGGATGAGCAAGCAAAATCAGCCAAGCTGCTCTGAAAAGGAATGGAAAAAAAAAAACAGACAACGGCTCATGAAAGAAACTACACACATACCCAAGCGCGGCATAGCAAGTCACATTGATATCAAGACATATCAAGCAAGGGAACTGATGGAAAAAGACACGAGTCTTAAACCAGCCACACCGCAAACGTGCTCAGACGCGCGAGCGATAGCCAGCACACTACTTTGGGAAGCAAAAAGAAAATACAACAGAGAGACATCATCACATGAAAAAAATTCTACATATTCTCAAAGTATGGCAGCACATGCTGAGAAAGAGAAATGATCAAAAAAAGCACGCATTTAAACACATAGTCAAAGCGTACATGTAAAGTGAAAACCGACAAAGGTTAAGCAGTGCTGTGCTGACTGCGAGCGCAAGATGATGTACGTACAGTCTTTGCTCGTTATAATGGACCCACGTACAACAGACTTTCGGATACTACGGACCATTATTCAGCCTAACTCTGGTCTGTGTATAAAATTAATAGATTGAAGTTCTCCTTTAACGAACTGAAGTTCTCTTTATTCGCAAGAATATAGGCTACAGTGGACGAAAGTAGAGGCATTGCTCTTCGAAATTGGGTACATAAAGTGTACTTTTGCCGCATTAATGTAGGCTGACAGTAGACTTAGCCCCCAGCTCTCTGTGCGCTAATGGTGCAGTGATTGTAAATCGCGGCTGGCAACGTTGGTGGCCTCCAACTAAGTCGAGCCTTTAGCCAAACCAGTCTGAGAGCGCACTGATTACACCAATGGTTGAAGCATTGCAGTTGAATGTAATGAGGTGCAAAGTGATTGCATCATTGCTCAAGAGTGCTCACCAATCTCTTACCCCAACTTTATTTTCCAGCTTAACAAGAATAAGTTTTTTTTTTGTTTTGGTTTCGCGTTAGACATCCGTCACTCATGCAGTAACCTTGTTAGGCATCGTGACCACGCGACCAAAGTTTTCAAAGTAAGACCAATAAATAGTGCCTTGGTGCTGCTCAGTTCAGAACTCTCAGACCAACTTTGGACTGTCCAGTGTGCCACTGAAGCAGCGTGGGAGCAACAGCTTCCTTTGGCCGATAGGCCGCCCAATTAAAGCAAAAATATGCCTTCCCGTCCACAAAAATAAAAAAAAATTAAGAGAAATGGCTGCAAAAGCCTGCTAGAAACTCTTTACTATCGGGCTGAGCTTTGCTGCAGTGCAGGGGCTGCGTAGCGTCCCTCCACCTACTGTAATGGCACTTGCTCATTTTGAACTTGTGCTGCAATTTTGTAAATAACCTCTGCTGGTGATTGAAGTCTTCTATAACCATGCTGTTGAACACATTTAGCATGTATCAGCGGTACTAGCCTGCCCTATCCTGCCGAGTGAAATCGAAATGATCACACGCATCCATGACGACGTGCATCCCCCCCTCTTGCATAGAGTTTGAACATTACGGACTTCGGATAATACGGACCCATTTTGCTGGACTATGACAGTCTGTTTTAACGAGAGTAGCAGTATAACCTTGTTACAACGAATCTGCTTACAACATTCTATTACAACATACTAATTTGCGGCGTTAAGCCGACCTCCCTATTTGTTCCGAGCATCATTTACAACGGATTCTGGTACAATGACCATTCGGATATAACGTATAAACGCGTGTAAGGGCCGCACTTTTTTTTCCAGGAAGTGAGGGCTAATTTTCAGGTTGCGGCCCATACACGGAACTTTTTTTGTGGTGAACTAAAACAACGTACCAGTTAGTGAACGAAGAGCGTTTATTGCAGTATGCCGCGTGTGCGCTTAATCGTCGTCACTCGACGAGTCCTCTAACTTGGAGTCCGAGATGGTGTGTTGCGGAGAACCATCATTCCACAAACAGTCATCTTCGGTGCCATCCAGGCTGTTGGATATCCCAGTGACCTTAAAACTTCGGGCCATAATGTCCGTCGACACCGAGCTCCACGCCGACAATATCCAACCGAGAACAGTAGCAAGCGGTGCCCTCTTCAGCCGTCCGGTCGGCGTGTGCTCATGGTTGCCGGTTGCCATCCATTCCGTGTAGAGTCTTCGGAATTCAACTCTGAATGGTCGATTCACGCTCACATCCAATGGTTGCAACATTCCTGTGAGGCCGCCTGGAATCACGGCCATGTCTGTGCCGACACGGCGCAGCTGCTCCTTCACCTTATCGGTAAGGTGGCCGCGGAAACTATCCAATACTAAAAGTGAATGTTTGGCCAACAAAGCTCCCGGTCTGTTCTGCCAAACACTTTTCACCCAGTCTAGCACCAAATCATCGTTCATCCATCCCTTCTCTTGGGCTCTAACTATGATGCCCTTGGGGAAAACTTCGTTGGGAATTCTTTTCCTTTTCAAAACAACGTACGGGGGTAGCTTCCGCCCGTCCGCGGTCACACAAAGCATCACGGTGCAGCGTTGGCGCTCAGCGCCGGTGGTCCGCACGGCAACACTCTTCTTTCCTTTTACTTCAACAGTGTAGTTCTCGGGAGAGTCAAACCACACAGGAGTTTGATCAGCGTTCGCTATTTGCGACAACAAATAACTGTGCTGATGGCGCAGGCCGATGACATGCTTGTGAAAACTAAGCACCTTGTCGGTATAGTCTTCTGGCAGCCGCTGGCACAGCGTGGTCCTTCGCCGAAAAGAGAGTCCCTTTCTTTTCATAAACCTTCGCACCCAGCCAGCACTAGCCTTGAAATCCCCGGCCGGTATATTTTTCGCACGTGCCAAGGTTAGTGCCTTCATGCGCAGCATGTCTGTAGTGAGCGCAAAACCATCGTTCCGCACCTCAGTCACATAGCGGAGCAACTCCTCTTCCAAATCGGAATACTTGCACTGTTTTCCTCGGAAAGCGCGCTTTTTGATATTGGTGTTCTGCAAGGCTTTCTTCTGGGCGCACCAACGTCGAACACACTTCTCGTCAACGTCGAATTTTCTGCCGGCGGCCCGTTTCCCGTGCTCGAGGGCAAACTCGATCACCTTCAACTTAAAGCCAGCTGTATAGCTATTCAGCTGCTTGCCCATCGTGCGAAAACGTAAACGTCCCGCAGAAAACTAGCTGGAGTTCCCAGAGTCATTCAACGGTGCGCAAAACTCGAGCACATGGCAGGCTAAACAGCACAATGACCGAACAACGCACAAATACCAAAGCTGGTGATGCTAATGCCGATATGGATAGCGCGTTTGTATAGAAGTGTCAGAAGTTAAAGATAAAATTCTGCTTTAACCTTTAGTTGGCGGGTGTATGAACACTACTGAAAAAACTAAAAAATTTTAGCCAACTTCATGAACATATTAGCATGAAGAAAACCAACAAATTATTCTAATGATGTACTATATGGTGATGATGAGAATTGCGTTCCCTAACGCCATCTACTGACAACGCCTAATAGCTCACACACGCGCGCACATTTTGAATACGCATGGGTCAAGGAAAGTGCGGATGCGGCCCTTACACACAACTTTTTTTTGAATATGTGCTTCTTAAAAACGGGATGCGGCCCTTACACGGGTGCGGCCCTTACACGCGTGTATACGGTAATTGACTAAAATGTGAGGCCAGCAAGGTGGTCAGAACACCTTTACAGCAGATTTTTCCACCGTAGAGGTCTAAACTTCTGACCTCAAACATTGCTTGGCATACTTTCAGGACTGGAATAGGGCCGCGGATATCAACATATACCGATTTAGAAACGACGGCCGCATATCTCTGGTTTGTTAATGATGAGTTATGCCTAGCTACAGCGGTGTAAAATCGGCATGCCGCGAGCTTGATTTGGCTTGCTGGGGCGCTGACGAGCAAAATTGCTAGCCACTGCCACCACTGTTCGAAGCAGTCTGTGGGCGGCGAGCATGGCTGGGGTCCATGACCGATGCACCAAGACTCGCGGTTCTAGAGAGCCAGCGGCCGATGTGATTTGTTACTTGTGACAAAAAACATTACGGCTTTTTCGCTTTCGCATATCCACTAGCGCGATGGTCTTTCCCGCCAAGTTTGGGTCGGAATTAGGCCTAGCGGTGACTTCGAGCAGAAAGGGCGGCTTCAATGTGCATGGCTGCGGTGCCCTATGTTTTTTAGGTACCATCAAATACGGTTATATCGAACCCACATATATCAAATTTTCGGGTATATCAAACTCGCAAGTTATCCCTTTGAAATTCCTTTGTAGAAGTATAGAAATTGGCACGTTTACATCTAACAGTATTTTTACCCGCCTTCGAATATATCGAACGCCGCAAGAGCTGGAAGGTGCGCTTCGGCACTTCCAGCAGTGTCGGCGGACGATTTCGTGGAAGCGGACTGCTATGTCCAAGCCGACAGCTCATGTGATAAGGAGGATTGTCCAGACGAGGCACTGGCTATGCGCGCGTACTCCCCCGCTGAAGTGGCCGCAGCATTCGCTGTTGTATCGGCCACATGAAGGGAACCGGGCTGTCACACCTGGACAGCCTTGATAAAATCAGGAATAGAGTCTTCAACATTTCATAAAAAAGAAGCAGGCCAAGATTAGCGATTAGCGAATTTTCGCCGTGCAAATAAATCATTTTGTTGCGTCGAATGTGCGGAATTAGTTGTCATTCTTGAATGCGCCTATTGTAGGTGATCGGCTACAGGTAAGCTCTCGGGGCCTGTATTTTTTATATCGAATTTTTCATACACCGAACTAATTCGTGATCCCCTTCGAATTAAATATATTCGTGTTCGACTGTACAACATGCTCGATCGTGAATACAAAGATCTGTCACGCGGTGGTCTTCGTCGCAAGGTCCGAAGCACTGAGAAGCAGAGCCTTCTAGCCAACGAGTCAACGCTATGACAATCTGTTCGAGTCATGCGCGTGCGATGTTCGCGACGAGCACGGTGCACATTTGTAATCTGAAGACTGAACTTTCACTTGCAGCTGCCTTGATAACCCATGAACACAGAACTAGCGCGAAAATGTCATCAAGTAGTGCAATTCTGCACATTTACGACCTCGCGACGCACACGAAGCAGACGACGTTATCCCGGAGGCATATCCAGAATGAGCATTAGACTAGCGAGGTGTACTGGAGCAATGCGGCAGAACAAGTTAATCGAAATCCTCCAAATGAATTTCAAACATCTACTTTTTGAACACGGAATGCTCTTTAAAAAATACTTTTACAATGAGCTGAAAATGATGGTGGGCAGTTGTGCTGTTGCGAAGCCGTAAATTTTTAAAAAACGTCGTCTTTATTTATTTTTATAAATTTTATTCCCACCTAGTTCTTCGGCATCTTCAACTCCTCCAGACCACAGACAGACAACTGCAATTCTGGGGCTTTCAACACAAAACCCATATGACTACAGGTAAGCTCTCGGGGCCTCTACTTTTTATATCGAATTTTTCAAATACCGAACTAATTCGTGATCCCCTTCGAGTTCGATATATTAGTGTCCGACTGTACGACATGCTCTTTAAAAAATAAATCAAATAAATCAATTAAATATGGTCCGGAAAATTAAACACCCCAAAAAATGGTCAAGCTGTGAAAATCAAGTTTAGCATTTAGATTAGAAAAGCCTAAAAAAACTCTAAGAAGCCATGCTTCATGCTGCTCTTCAGGACAAGCTAATTTGGCCTTATTTGGGCTACGATAACATCGTTGGTAAGCGCGCTGCATATCGCTGCCACCGACCATTGCAGGCGGAATGTTGGTGGCTCTATGGAACTAGGCACTCAAGCCTTGATGCCGGTCGCAAAAAGATGCATGCAACATTTTGCCTGTTTGGCGGGATTTAACAACACGGTCTAGGCTTCTTTCGCCTGCACTGACATTACACAGTATGCGAGCCCCCAGCACTTCGCGACCATCAAAAATGCTACCGTTGCGGCTGCAATCGAACCCGCGTGTTCCAGATCAGTAGCCGAGCACCGTGACCACGAAGTGCTACTGAGCAATCCCGAACACCAGCGAGCTTGTGACGCGCACGACGGCTGAAACACGCTTGGAACACCACTAACAATAATTGATTGATATGTGGGGTTTAACGTCCCAAAACCACCATATCATTATGAGAGACGCCGTAGTGGAGGGCTCCGGAAATTTCGACCACCTGGGGTTCTTTAACGTGCACCCAAATCTGAGCACACAGGCCTACAACATTTCCGCCTCCATCGGAAATGCAGCCGCCGCTGCCGGGATTCGAACCCGCGACTGCGGGTCAGTAGCCGAGTACCTTAGCCACTAGACCACCGCGGCGGGGCGGAACACTGCTAACAAAACCAAGTGCGCAATGACGACTAGAAAAACAGATGTCCAGAAAATAAAAACCCACCAGAGTATTATTGATGAAAAGGCTGGCTGAAAAAGAAATGTTTTTCTGTTTTGGTAGCCAAGAAAGATCACACATGGCCTCCAAAACTGGAAGACTGTGCGCGTTTCCAATCTTGAAGGCCACACAACTAGCCACTGCAAGCCAAATTTGACCAAGCCAACAATAATTCAACACTGCGGTTTTGAAAATCGAGTGGCATAGCTCAAAACAAATGATTTAGTCTATAAAATAGAACTTTGGAACTTGAATTTGTCCGAATAATCAGTCCCGCAAATGCATTAGTGTAATGAGAACCTTGGCAGTACGTTTGTTAAGTTTGAAATATCCTGTAAGTCCGAATTTTCGTTGTCTGAAAAATTTATTAGCATCGGCGACTATGACGCTAGCCATAAAAAGGGACAATAGATAAATTTGGGCTACCTGTAGTTCTTTAACATGCACCAAGATCCATGAAAATGGGCATCCTTGATCGAAATGCAAACGCTATGGCCAAGAATCGAACCTGTCTCCTCAAGCGCTGCGTGACCAGTTTAGACACTTGGGTAGCTCCCATGATAGTTTTTGAGACAACTTTAGGCCTTAATTTTTAAGACACATATTCATTCAAAGCACCCTTTGTCCTATATTTTATTGTCAGCTCATCTAAACTGACACAGGCACCGAAGTGTGAAAAGGCTGGCATGTGCACTCACTTTGCGGCAGCGTGCCTGAAAGCCAGCACTGGCCCGACCATGCAGAGCTCCAGTGTTTCGTTCAGTGCGTTTGGGCACTGCTCCAGTTGAATTGGCTCTGGCAACAGGCGGTGGCAGATTATGAGATGCATGGCTGCCGCTGTGTGCAGAACAGACGTCTTTCAAAAACCAATACTCACACAATGGACAACAATACAAAATCAATAGTAGGCTGCAAGTTGACCCAACAAGGACAAGCTACAACTAGTGAAATCGATTACTAATGCTTCAGTCATTATCATAACAGAATGCCATGTTTAGATTTGACTTCCCATTACAGCAAGCCTTCACAAGAGAACAAGATGCTTTAAAGATGTCGTGAAACAAAGCTCTCGCCAGTGCTGTTCATGTTGCTAATGTTGTCCGTGCTTTGTTTCTAAAAAAAACCTACACCTACCATAAAGTATCATTAAAAATGTAATGTTACAAGCGAAGTACTATGTTAGCAGCATGAACATCAGTTTATATGTATTAATGGTCTCTGGGCAGGACCTACATAAACCTTGTCTCTTAAGACGTAAAAAAATCCATGCATCTCCACGAAGTGAATCCTGATGAGTGGACGAAGCCCTGGGTGCCGTATCAGCGAGTAAATATATGCTGGCAGATCATTTATATCTATATATATATTTCTTGATGTGACCAAGAAGGGGGTTGAGGCTGTCACCTAGGCTGAAGTGAAGGAGAACTCTCGCGAGGCTTCTTGGCCACAGAAATCACACATATTTACATGTTTACAAGAGTTAAACTCGGCGCGGAGATGCACCTTTACATGAGACACGAGAGAGCCAGCGAAGGCCAGAGGGAGCTCTTAGCTCACACACGCGCTATTTAGACCTCCGGTTCGTGCATGTGCTTCTCGTCGAGCGTATTTCGCAGGACGTGGACTGCATGTAGCAGCAACGCCAATGCGCGTTCATTTCGAGCGAAGGTGAGCGAGCTTTCCTGTTGCGGCACGTGGGAGTGGAGTGAGCGCCGCAGAGCCATCTAGTGAGTGCTCGAGTACTAGTGGCTGGCTACGATGCGACAACAGACAAGCCTCGACCTTAAGAGGCTTCGCCCCTAAAAGCAAACATACAATTCTGGTGTACATTCTAGTTTTCTTGCTGCTCCAGAATATAGATACAATAAAAAAATTGTCCATTCAAAGTCACTGACACTGTGAAAAATCTTCGAACTAAGTGGGCTTTTGAATTAATGAAACATACAAAAATGAACCAGGATGCAAAGAACTTTAGATAACTGAAAGTAATCAGAAGTGGTCGTATGCTGTGCCTGTTAGTTTGCAGGCTCCAATAGTACCGGGTCCCAATATCGCCGCAAAGCCAGAGAACGGCAAGACTGCTTCATTTTTTATATTCCAAAAAAAAATGTGTAACACTCGATGCGCTGACATTGCGAGAAGCCTGGGACATGCTGCTTGTGTGTCACCACTGTGTTGCAGAGGAGCATGCTTTATTTTCTGCAGACGCACATTTCAACTCGTCACGACACTTTTTTTAGCAGGCACAAGCAAGGCTGAGGCGCTTCACACGTCACTCATTAATATCACTACTCGAATTGCCTTATGACTCCTATGCACCTTCGTTTAAATGTATTTGTGGTGAAATCATCGTCAGGAATAGGCACATGGTACCTTAAGTTTTCCAACTGGCGTGGTGTTGACCGCCACTTCAAATCATCCGCTCCAACTTACATTAAAAAATATAGGTATGCAGAAATCCTTCGAATTGAGCAGCATTGCGAAATAACAGAGTTCAAATTAATCAAGTTTTACTGCACATATATGTATCATGACTGTAATGAAAACTACAGAGACCTATTACTAAATGCGATATGATTATCCAGCACAACAGCAATGTCAAACATTTCAATAGAGCTGCCACGTTGAAGCAATGCCTCAAGCAATGCTATTCTTTTTTAGACACTTTGTATTTCATAGGTGGTCAGCATTAATTAGAACTGTATGACAAGAAAGCCAAGGAAATATCCTTGGCTTTCTTGTGTGTTCTAATTAATGTTCAGTCTAGCAAATGAAAACAAGCCCTTAAAATCGCCTTTATGAGTGGTCCACACAACCCTCCACTCACATCATTGACAGCATCAGGCAACCATGATTGGTGAATGCATAGTGGATGAATAGTGGTCAAGAGTGACTTAAACCAGAATAAACTGCTACAATGTGCAGCCTGCAACATAGTATTGAGTTAAGGAGCCAGATACACACATGCAGGCGCCACTGCATGTGTGCCGTCCGACTATGCACAGATGCTCTAATGTAGTCAGACTATGCACAGATGCACTAATGTAGTTAACTCTGCGCAATAGTCAGCTTTCATGCGACCACAAGAACGCTGACTCTAGATCATCTTAGACAATCACTTTCCCGTAGAGCTCAGCCTTTTGGAGGCACGGCTGGAGGCGTTAAGATGAGCAAAAAGGAGAATATTGAACTTGCATTGCACATGCTACACTTACAAATATTAATATGACGGCAAAAAGTGCCCTCTTAAGCTGGTAGAACAAGAGAAAGGAAGAACAAAAAAGCTCACGTTATATTCTCACAAACGCCACATTAAGAATTCATCAAAAAGTTTACAAATGAATGACCATACCCTAAGCAAAAACAGTGAAGTTTACAGGCCACAGAATGTTTGGCTAGACGTATTTGGGGGTCTTTTAGCCCTACCGCTCCTATGCTTGTAGTGCCAGATATAATAGGGATGGGCTGCAGATTCTGTCAGCCACGCAAACTTCAATGCCTCAGAAATTCGACGGCAGATCCACTACTCAGCTCCTCTCCCGTCACCAGTTTCCTTTACCAAAACAAAAATTTATCGAAAGGAAAAAGAGCGGAAGGCAGTGAAGTGCGGAAAGGCCAGGAAGTAGTCTATTAAAACGGATTTTTTCTTCGCACCTAGGGCCGGCACCCCGCAGTCGTCATTGAAGCTCCCTGGCACAAAGCCAGCAAAGCCAGAAAATACGAATGCATGCGAAACGGCAGCAGTTCACTTTTTTTTTTTTCATCTCTGCCCTCTCCTCTCAAAGTGGGAAACACACATTCCCCATACGTTCCCACCATCCAACGCAGCAGACGCTCTCCACACAAGCGGCAACAAAGAGCGCAGTGCAAAAAAAAAAGGAGTTCATAGTCGTTAGCATCCTTTTTCGAAGGAGCTTCTCTCATCATTTCTATTCGTACATCACAAAACAACTGCTATGTAGTTGTTTTTCTTTTTCAAGTCGGCAAACGTATTTCCAAGATGCATCAACAGCACATTGTCTATCTTCATTCTCTGCTCAAACAGCATGTGAAATGCTATCCTTCATTTATAGAACACTTTCTGAAATATCACTGCACAAATTAAACACTAACAGCACTGGTAGTCTTCGCATATGTGCCAGTCTTGCCATGTAACTTATGGCACATATAACTGAAGTTTTGTGTTCCGTGTCTACAAATTCAGATATAATACAGTAGTTCTTTCATGAATGCGCCTTTCACAACCCGTTTCATTTCTTATGAATGTTGTTAGAACAGTTTTTCAGAAATATCCCCAGCCATTATCATAAATATTTTGAGAACTGTGAAAGCAGAAAGAGACGGCATCAGACCCTCGAATACACAGATGAATTTTTCAGACTTGACAAGATATTTCATGCTTCACAAATGCACCCTCAAGGCTCCCATGAAACTAATACTACACTTTGGTGACCACTCTTCACAAGCTGGCAACACGCTCCAGGGCACCGCCTTTTTCTTTTTCAATCAGCCTTCTTGCCATCATTGCCAAGTGTGCACATGTGTGTGTGCACGCTTTCCAGATAGCCGTTTTGCACATGGTTTGGTCATGCTAGCGGTGTGTTAAGTGTGTTATTAAGAACGTTGTGCACGTAGATATCCTCTGCCGTTACAGCTGCTCAGTGGTAGTAGAGTTCAGCTGCAGACCTTAAAACGCGAGGATTGGATAACAGCTGCCACAGTCACGTTTTAACAGAAGTGCTGGATGCCCGCATACTGTGCGATGTCTGTGCAGATGAAATAACCTCAGCCCTCCACTAACCTGTTAAATCGCACAAACCAACCAAACAAGATGTGTGCTCCTTGTTGTGTGCAGCTTAATTTTTTTTTTGCTTCGTGCTATGGGGCCATTTCCTACGCTGTCTGCAACAGTCGCTGGCAGTGATCATCAACACACTGTCAACCCTACCATAGCCCTACTACACCAAAATGTTTATATAATGAACCCTGATACAACTAATCATGGGTTATAACAAAGTAAATGAAGAGAAGTCTTACCATAGACACAGTGGTACAAAACTAGTTTACAACAAAATGTTGGTCTAATCTCACAAAGAGAAAAAGACATTACACCTTTAGGTCGAAATTGAAGGCTATAAATAACAGAGTAATGTACTAGGACACTGCAGTTCCATTTGAACTGAACAATTAGAGCCCATTTATGTTTCGACATTTGCTACAAATGACATTAGGTGTGCTGGGTAAAATGGTGTTTTTTTTTTTTTTTCACTTAAGCACGATTTAATGTGTTGCTGCACTATTATGAAAAATAAGGCCAACATGGAAAGTTGAGCACGTTTGTAAGACTTTCAGACACAGAACAAATGCAGGAAAGCAACATGTATTGTTCAGAAACACTGCTGCTAAGTTCCTCTGATCTAAGAACCTCTCTGATTGTCAAAGCAAACAGCTAGAGGCTTGCCAGCATTTTCTGAAACGCTTTAAAAATATTTGCATGTATTTTTTGCTAAGCATTAGGCAGACTTGACAGCATGTGGAATAAATCGTTGCAACAGGATGGAGCGCTCGTGCTGTGTGCCTCCTATTTGCTTCATGTGTGTGTTCCCCCTGCGCTTCCAGTTCGCTGAACAATAATGAATAAATCGTTCTATAGCCACCACCTAGCCAGTAAACATAGCGTGCTTGAGGTGGCTCAGAATTTCTGTTGAGAACAGCAAATAACCGAAGCCCACAACACAAGCGAAAGTACTCATAAAATTGCCACAGAATGCAGTAGGTCTTAACAACAGGCAATAGTGCAAACAGAGCTATGCAGCAACTCTTGTAATGCTATTGTGCTTTGTTGATGGGTCTCGCGTGGCATTCACGAGCACATTAAACACAAGCAGTTTGCTATCCAAGAGATGAGAACTCGCAACTGTACAATTAGAAGGTCAGTTGCAAATATGCCGCTGCAAATGAGAATGAATTTGCTCAACTCGAGAAGATATTTAGGAAAGAGCATGGCATCCGATGCCTAGCCTCATCAGGGCAGCTATGTCGAATTCCACTCCTTAATTTAAGGGCCTGCCTCTGCAATGGCTCCTACCACCGGGGCTCTCAAGGCGTTCTTTGGTTCGTGGCAGCTCTTTGGGATGAAGGCACCACTAATCGGCCCTTATCACTGCATAATTTTCACAAAACATATGACACTCTCTCCTGCATTTTTTCCCCTTCCATCACAGCCTGACTACTAATTCTCCTGTGTTCAATGTAGGTTTTTTGAGAACGACAGTTTGTTTGGCTAGTTGGTCTACCAATGCAGCTTTGTCACATCGCACAGGCCAAAAGTTGTAGTGGTAGTAACTCACCTTGGAATCAATGATGGATAGCGCCAGTGACGAGGAGCAGTACGGCTGCAGCCAGACGTAGTTGGTAGCCGGGGAAGAACCATGCCACTGCCCAGAGCCCTACCAGCTGCACCGTGCATGCAGAGAGCTCCCAGTGAAACACGAATCCCAGATCAGGCAAAGATAATTTTCAGCTAGACTGCTTTCACGCCATTTAGCACTAATTGCTCTGCAAACTTTCCTTTGCCTCATTTGGTCTGTCCGAGGAATCACTTTTCATGCGGCAGTGCGACAGGTAATATATTTTTTTTTAAGGGCCAGTAAACAACCCCAAGGTCCTAAAATTGTTTTAAAGAGAAATATGTGCACTTTTACTTCGTGAACATTTTTAAAGAGAAATATGTGCACTTTTACTTCGTGAACATGCTGCCGCAAGAATTTCGCGAATACGTGACATATTAAGGAAGTTACAGGGGCTAGAACATCACTTTTCAAATTTTTGCGCGGCCTTGCCAACCTGCTTCTTTAGAGGAAGAGGAAGGTGTAGCCCACTTCAGCAATGTGACAAAGGCATCAGCAATTGACATCGCCGGTGTGACAAAGGCATCAGCAATTGACATCGCCGGTGTGACAAAGGCATCAGCAATTGACATCGCCAGTGTGACAAATCAGTCACAATGCACTTTCGCTTGATGCGATGCCTGGTTGTTTACTGTTTACCCAGCGCCGACACTTCTCTGCAGCCCAGTCGGTTGATTTGCAGCTAACAACGATTTGCAGCAAAACTGCTCTCCAAAACTCTGACATGAAGTTGGCCCGATTTTTTGGCAATGCGATTTTTTGCGAGCACACTGTCGCGCCATCTGGGAGCTGCAACACAAAGCACAATGCGTTTATTAGTGGGTGTGCTGATGAACAGATGGAGGGAAAATTTGCTCACTCTAAAAAACTGGAGCAGTGACGTGTCTGGATTTCGATACATGGAGCCTATGGAAAGTTTCGCAACTCGTATGATTGAATAGCTCTGTTGTAGCTGTGGGTGAGAACAGGAACTGTCGTTGACTTTACTACTGTTTGTTTAAACCTGCTTTAGACCAATCGACGAGCTGCGTGCTGCGTCACATCACCGATCGCCAAGTTGGCGTCACGGCGCATGGAAGGTGCATTGTTGAGGTGTAGAAAAGCAGCGCGAGAACCGTTTTTCGAAATGGAGGTGCGCAAAGCGCAGCTCTGTAATATTCAGAAAACGTGATGGCTACTGTCTACTATACGAATTGCAGAGCTTGTTTGGGTGTTGTAAAAATATGTCCGAGCCTCTTGACTGGCCCTTTAAAAAAAAGATAACATGCATAGTCGCCTACCTTTTTTCTTTCCGAAAACTGGCACATCTGGAAGAGTAAGGAAGGCTTGAAAACATATGTGAAAACTTTGCCCTGAGAATATAACACACATCAGTAAAAAGCTCCCACCCGCTTTTTTTTATTCCACTGGATGCCGTATCAATGCAAGAGAGAGAAACATCTTGTCACTTGGCTATGCCCACTACTATTTACAAAATATGGCACCGCATCAACCACTGGCTACAAGCAAAATTTTAACAATAACGACACTAAACTGTCCCTATTAATAACAACATGATTCACACTGGTTACATGCAAATCAGGAGAAGAAAAAAAATACTATGGCTAGACTGCAGTAATATTACTTCAGTGCTTCTTCTGAAAAAGTAGGGAAAGAAAACTATTTCACAAGTATGCTTCAAGATGCCTAAAGGTCTAATGCACACTATCAATAAATTTATATAAGGGGCTAAAATAGATTTCTTTTGTAGCTTAAGGCCGTCTAATCAATCCTCCATGACCGATCCTAGCAAGCACGTGAATTCTGTACCCTATAATGCAAAATGGTCATGAATTTTGGAGACATTTCTGGGTTCACAAACAGTTCGCCCCCGTCCCCCAAAACTCCCTGGCTCTGTTAAAGAACGAAATAATAAAAGCATAATACAACTACTACCGCCGATAGAGGTGATAAAGATGCTTATTTTATCCTGCTCCTTCAAAAGCTAGAACATGGTCTCAACTAGAAACCACTCCTGTCAGCTACTTTAACCCCCGAATGCAGAGATGTTACTTGACTCGTACTTGACTCGTTCTTAACTCAAGTCAGTCTTGCCGGTCGCCATAAACCGTTCTCGAACTTGCGGACGACTTGAAGGCGACTTGGCTCGGTCAAAGTCAGGACAAGTTTTAAGTCAGCTGCGGGGCTAGCTTGAAAGCGACTTCATGCGTTATTCCAACATGGCCACCTCTCGAATGAACGTCACGCGGATGGTGGCCGCTTTTGAGTTTGCTTGCCTCGCCCTAAGCGTAGCATTTTTGAGGCGCACTGCCTGCCGAAGATTCTTGGACCCACTTTACATGACCGAGGAAATCCGATGGAGCTGTACGATGAGCAACAATTCCACGCTCGTTACAGATCCACGAAGAACGCCGTGCAGCAGCTGCTGGCTATGTTGCTGCTCCGTGAAAGTGCGGACAACCAAAGACAGCCTGCGCTTCCAGTGTTACAGCTACTGATGGGTCTCAGGTTTTACGGCACTGGCACATTCCAAACCTGGAATCTCGTCCGCATTCCGTAGTCGACAGTGTGCCGTGCAGTCGGAAAAGTTACACTACTATCGCAAAGCACCTGTACACGATGCTGGTGCACTTTCTGCAGCCGGCGGCACTTTCTATAGTTATTCAGGACTTTTATGAAGTGGCTGAGTTCTCTGGCCTGACAGGTTATGTCGACTACACACACATGCATAATAATAGGCCCGGTGGTGACCCGAAGTCTTGGAAACCACAAAGGCAGTTTCTGCTTTTTTAAAACACGACAATTTTCCATCTCTTTCGGTACAAAATGGACTCGGCGGTGTGTCTGTGTGTCTCGTCTATCCTTTCGTCCCGTCTAGGGCGCTGTTTCTCGCTGAGAAAGGCATCGCTTGCAGCACAATGCTACAAGAAATTCCACACACACACACACACAAAAAAAAAGGTGCCCCTATCACAGGTTTCCTGATCATGTGCCTCCCCCTTCACCACCATGCAGCGAGACATTGCTGCACCTTGCGACACAAAATTCTGCTGAGGGCAAAAAATATTTTTCATATATAACCGCGACTTAGCCCGCTACAAGCATGTCCACAGGCGAACAGAAAGGCGAATACCGTGAAAATCGCGTTACTTCGTGAGCCAGGTCAGCACAAATACACGCTAGGGCGCTCGATTGAACAAAAATAACGACAAAAGAACCCAATGCGATGCTTGTTTTGCCTCCAAACAAGCTAGCATGGAGAAAAGCGCAGCATTTGGGTAGCCACTAAAACCAGCGCGCAATGAACGCTTTGCAGAAGCAACACTGCGCATCACTGCGGCGGCGAGCACCACCTGCCACTCGTTAGCCGTAAATGGCAAAAATACGCTTGTGGCACTTCGCTTTTATAGTTATTTTAGAACATATGGTCTTTTTTTGCTGTAACACGTGCCTTACGCAAACAACTTCATTATTAACCTCGTTAGCAGGCGAGCAGCGTATTTCTACTTTGAAGCTCGTTCTTGACTTGACCAAGCAAGACAGCCCGAGCATCTATGAAACACGAAGGCTGACTTGGGCGTTTTGAAGTTCGCTGCTTGCTTCACGCCGACTTGCTCAAGTCAAGTCGAAGGTGCGAGCCAAGTAACATCTCTGCCTTCGGGGGTAAGGTCATGTCTGTGAGTCAAGCAACACAATAGTAGAAGCAGTCTTGCAAGAAACACAAAACTGGTTTCAAGGCACCTTCGTGGGCTAGTCACGAGCTGGGAAGAACTTTTTACAAGCACTAAAGCCAATGCCATGAAGTGTACTTTTATTCACACATTTCTGAGTTTTCATTTCTTACAGAAGAACCAAAAGGATCGGGGCTAAAGGCAGTCAAACACACTTATATCAAACCCATATATTGAATTTTCAAGTATATCGAACTCATAAGTTATTCCCTTGAAATTCCTTTGTAATAGTATAGAAATTCGCACCGTTATATCGAACGGTATTTTTACCCGCCTTCGGATATATCGAAAGCTGCGCGAACTGGAAGGTGCACTTTGGCACTCATAGTGCCCGGCGACCTCAGTGCGGCATCACTCCTCCACCAATACCCAAAACGCTCGAAAAAAGGCAAGGGCGAGAAGGCTCGGACTGCACAATCTCTAACTTGCGTATCAGCTTTTGTTTTTTCCTCATTTCCCTCTTTCCCATGCTTTCTCCGCATACCGGTCGGCTCGGAGAGCAGGAAAAAAAGAGCTAACGTCCTCCTCCTTTTGCCTTTTCTTTTATTTGTTGGTGCTGTTTTGCGAGTTTTGATCAGCCAACTCTGTGGTTGGCTGATCCACCTCGCACCTTTTGCTGTTGCCCTCACATGTGGCCATCGCCTTGCGAGCTTTTTGTCGCTTCCGTTGTCGCATCGCGTATGTACCACTGCATGTGCAGCATCTCTTTTACGTGCGTGGTGTGCAAAGCCACTGCGGACTCCTTGAATTGTCGGCTTCTCGTGTAGCTATGGCCAGCATCAAGAAGTGCAAGACCCTTGACTTTGCGACGAAGTTGAACGCTATTCAGCGTGTTGAGGCGGGCGAGAAATGTTCGACCGTCGGGGACGACTTCAGGATACTACGGAGCACTCGAGTACCTTGTTAAAAAACAAAGCAGATATCGAACAGCAAATATCGGGAGCCTGTCATATGCGTGCTTCTGCCCATGGGAAGTAGAAAAAGCACACTATGCCTGGTTTTTAGAAGTGTGCGCGAAGAACATTCTGGTGGATGGCCTGATGCTGATCGCGAAAGCCAAATGGTTTGCCGCTGCACTCAGTGAAACAACTTCGCCGACAACAGCGGGTGGCTTCACCGATTTAAGCAGCGCTATAACATCGTTGGCAAAACCAATTCTGGCAAAAGTGAAGCTGTCAGCAGCCAGGACACCCAGCAGTGGATGACGAAGGAGTGGCCGGAAATCTCCGCGAAGTTTTCTCCCTCAGAGATTTTCAATGCCTGGCGAGATGTGAAGATGGACACAGAGGTGAACTGCTTCCATGAGGCAGGCTTCGAGACGGCGGAACTTGCGGAAACCAGTGAAGACGACGACGACCGCATAGATGACGTGTTTTGCGAGTTGTCATCCCGTTTTCCGACAGCAGTTCCACACAAAGTGTCTGCTAACGACTTCGTGGAAGCAGACTGCAATGTTTAGGCCGTTGCGAGCCTCGCTGACAATGACATAGTAGCTGCAGTCTCGGGGACCCAGGATGCCAAGGCAAACAGCTTGTGTGACGAGGAGGATCGTCTGGACGAGGCGCTGGCTACACGCGCGTACTCCGCCACTGAAGTGACTGCAGCATTTGGCATCATTCGCCGTTGTATAGGTCACATGGAGGAAACCGGGCTGTTGCACCTGGACAGCCTTCATAAGATTGAGACTAACGTCTTCAACATTTCAAAAACAAAGTAGCCGGCCAAGATAAGCGACTTTTTTTTTTTTTTCATGCAAATAAATAATTATGTTGCAGCGTGTGTGCGGAATTAGTTGTCATTCTTGACTACGCCTATTGTAAGTGATGATTTGCTATAGGTAGGCTCAAGGGGCCTCTATTTTTTTATATGGAATCGTTCATATATTGAACTAATCCGCGATCCCCTACGAGTTTGATATATCCGTGTTCGACTGTATCATGTGCCTGAATAAGGCCCTGATCAGAGTATAATCAGTGATCGGCAAAGCGACATAACTAAAAAAGAAGAGCATAAGCACAAATCTACCCTAAAACCGTACTGCTGTGGGAGATACTAAAATAAACATATTAATCCATTTTCTGGGTAACCTATGTAACAAAACAATGCAAAGAGCAACATAAAGAACAGATGCAATGTAATATCAGAAGCATTAGTAACGTGACTTGACAAAAGTACATATAATTCAGCCCACAAGCATTTTTCATTAACAACACGACAATATGAAAAACAATGAACTATATTTACACATTTATCCGTTATACATATCAACACGTTTCCTGCAAATACTACTACTCAGCACTGTTTTTCAATACGCTTCACTGATGCAACACAACACAGAATCTAGGCAACATTCCTCACCTACAGCCACATGCTCAATAATTTTCTCCACAACCATTAATCTTTAAAATTATGACTCGCAAATTCACTGATCTAAGTTTCTATCCTTTAGTTCTCATATCAGAACTGCTTCAAGTGCTCACAATAGCCATGCACACATGATTTCTGGAGCGCTTAAAAACAGATTTGCACAATGAACAAGATGTGAATTGCCGAACGAAACCAAATGTTTGTATAAGCACTTCACGATGCTTCAATCGCATCTACACATCTAACACCTCATCAAACCTGCATTTTCACCATCAAACATAGAATTACAATGACTGCAATGCCGGGCTGTAAAGTAGAGGACATTAAATAATTCTAACCAGATTGTACAAATACAATTCCTTGGTACGACATAGATACGATTCCTTGGCACATGAACGCTTTTGTTTTTCGCGACCACTGATATGCAACTATTGTGACAAGACAGAAGATTGCAAGGCTGTAGCCTTCTACAACATCTGCGAAATAGATTTCGCACAATTTTTTTTTTGCCTTTTGCGGGTTTCAAAAAAGATTCAGCATATAAGTATGCTGATCATCATTAAATAAGATTTCTGCAAATCCCAACATTAAATCATTCACACGATCAAGTCAAGCTGCCCCTGCCCCATAATTCTTCTTTCCTGGCATTAAAGGAACACTAAAGGCAAAATAATTTTCCGCATATTAGTGAAGTACATTTTCACAATTCTAAATATGTCACCATGACACTATACTTGGTAAGCAAGAAAACACGTGAAACGAGATGCAGGTGGAGACACCATCTTGAGATTCCTGCACCAGACACTGTGAAGGCATAAATTTTGAAGGAGTCTACATGATTCTACGTAGCTTCCAATTGATAAAAATAAAGTAGTACAATGCCATCTGTGGGTGTCATAGACCTAGCATGTGAAGTTTTAGAATATTTTAATCGAGCCAATGCCATGGAGATAACGAAAACACATTTAGAAATTTCCGACATCCTGCGCGGAGATTTTAACAGGAAATTTCAAAATGAAACTTCAAGCTTTTCTCTGCTAATAATGAACTTATTATAGTGAAACATGTGGCATTAAGGTTCTCAGAGTGCAGTTTGTCTATCTAAACCAAGTCAGTTTCCCTTTACTGTCCCTTTAGGCAGTACGACACTAGATAGGGGTGAGTGCCAAAAGAAAACATGGGCACAGAAAAGGAAGAAAAGACTGTGCAGCATCCGTCTGCCCACTTACTAGATGAGCGAAGCAAGTTCCGTGGCACAACTGCTGGAGCTCTTGCATTACCAGCAGTAGCGGCGTTGCGGTCCTGCTTTACTGGAGCCTGAGGCTTTGGTGCCTCAATCGGTGGCAAGAGTGCCTTCGGTGGAGGAGCAATAGCCTTGGCCCTTTCTGGTGCAGGTGTACGCTGATCCTCCTAAAAGCACCAATTACATTTATGGTACATTTATGCAAGGCCCCCCTTCACGACACACTGATAACTATCCTTTTTACAAAGTGATGTTTTAAGACACCACCACCATCTTTAATGATTTTTATGCCTCTGCACAGCTTCAAAAAATAACAGGTCTAACCAAAGTGTGGTCAAGACAAATTAGGCCCCACTAATTCCCATAAAGTTCTCTAATGACCAAAAGTAGGTCAAATTGCCTTCTTTGCAGCCAGAAACTCAATAGGAGCAAACAAATTTGATGAGCAATTTGGCAAAAAGCAACTGGGTCCCAATGGCTTTTAGTTACGCGATCTAGTTCCATCGACTTACCTGATAAACTGAACTGTTTTCTCTTTTTTGTTTGCATTTATGTGTCCACACACTGTTAAAAAGATGCAGGAAACCTAGAACAGAAACTGACAACCAGCACATTGCTTTCAGATCTTTGATTCTTCAGCTCTCCTATACAGATTCACCTCATTAAAGCACTAATATCCCGAATTATTAATAACAATAACTGAGGTTTTACACCCCATAACCACGTTAGGATTACGAGAGACGTCGTAGTAGAAAGCTCCGGAAATTTTGACTATCTGGTGGTGTTTAATGTGCACTGACATCACACAGTACACGAGCCTCTCACGTTTCACCTCCATCGAAATGGCGTGGCCGGGATCCAACATACAACCTTCAGCTCCGCAGCCGAGCTATCGCAGATAATTGGTTATAATGTGCTTAGGTTAGTCATGCTTAATTTCGGTGACATTCTCTTTATAAAATGCGAGAATGGTCACGATATTGGCTGTAACAAAGAGATATTTGTTTTGTGTGAGGCTCAAAACTCAAAAGGTAGCAAAAGAACAAAAAACAAATAAACTTATGGTTTTGTTTATTATTACATTTTGGTTTTGCCTCGAATAAGAGAACAGAGCGTTCTGAACTTCGAGACCAGATTTGAATTGGGGAGCCTGAAAGGTCAAGGTGATAACACTTGCTGATTGTCGTCTCGTGACAAAGCAGCTCCAAGCCACACGAAGCTAAGTGGAGCTGAAAACATGCGGTGAAGAACCATGGGTTGCAGTTTCCATACACACTTAGCCCCATATTTCCCTCTAGCGTATTTATAAGAAACTCTGACGCACACGGTGCCGCCGTGTATCCAAGCTAATCTGCGCAGGCGCACAGGCACTGCTTAATATTTTGTGATGCGCTGGTGTGCAGAGCTTACTTTGCTGTGAAGTACACCTATCGGCATGCCAGTAGCTATGAAGCACGCTGTAAAGACGTTGAAAAAAAGCAAGCATTGCAGTAGTGCACCATGTTGTGCAAGTTTCCTTTAAAAAAATGATAACTCAGAGAAGTGGCTCATGGGTCGCATGCGGCCCGCAGATTCACCAGGAATAGAATGTTCATAGAATTGCAAAGTGACACATTATTTACTCGTTTATTGCTATTTATTAATGCCATCTTCCAACACACAACCAATCTGGCACAACCGAAACTGAACTGGCCTGGCCGAATTTTCGTGGACACAAGATTCACACATGTTTATATGCCGCATAAGACCAACTCACACTAAAGAAGCACCGGTGGTCAAAATTATCCACAGCAATGTTCTACATCTTTCATATATACACAGTCGCTTCACGGTCCTAAATTTAGTTTTAAGTAAGCGATACCTAGCAATTTCCAAATATGCATGCAAATAAGAGGGATTGATAAGGGGAAATAAAAATAAATAAATAAAATAAAATTGTGGCACTGGAAGTTGGAACTACTCGCATCTTAAGCAGAAAACTTCACAAAAGGCAGGCTTTCCTGCAATGCCGCTGCAATGCGCCTAATTGCTAATGGCATGCTTTTAGATAGGCGTGCCTCACAGCAAAGCAAGCAAGGCGCTCGAGCCCTACAGAAGAGGAAACGCAGTGCCTGAGCATCTGCGCAGATTAGTTTCGACGCGTGGCCGCAATGCGCGCACTGGAAATGCTGTGCCGTGTTTGTACCAAAAGTGCAAAAGTGAATGACCCTGTATATTAGTAACATTACATTTAAGTACATTACATTAAAAACATTAAATGACCTTCTTGTACAACTAAACCCCTTTATAAAAGACACGTACCAAAGAGCCCGTCATGTCCCTTATATAAGGCACTCATCTCTTATATCAGCGCTTCTTATAAAGAGGTTGAACATTAATTCTATCTTACATATCAGGTACAGTGGAATGAGTTGCAACATGATGGCCATGGTTGAATGGGCCCCAATCCTAACTGATTTGAAAAATAGCAGCATTCGAAACAGTGCTAACGTCACAGATTGTTTTTTATATACAGTGTTGGTGCCACTTTTCCCATGGGCACTATATTGCAACCCATACTCATGGGAGCGACAATGCTAGAAAAATGCCATTAGAAGTTTTCACATTTTGCCTAGAGAAATGTCGGACTGGCCAGAACACTGACACAAAATGTTTTTTTAAATACATATACTCTATTTGCCTATCGTTTTAAGCAATCGCAGCTCTTCAAGTAATCTATGTGCTTGTATGTACATTTATCGAAAATCTTTCTGAGGGTTCAGGGCTTTGCAGACATGTAAAATAATCAACGAAAGCATCGTTATTGCAACGTTTCAGCTGGGGTCCGGCCTTAATCAGGGAAACGAGTTGAAATGTTCAAATAGCACACTTGCTGCTGTTCCACCCAGTGTGAAATCTGCAAAAAGAGCAGACCAAGATTCTCCTAAGTTTCTTTTGTCATTTTCTGTGATTTTCCTGGATGCTTCGCCATTTTGTATGGGTGTGCGTGACTGCATTATTTGTTAAGAACAGAGACACAAGAGAGGACGTGTCTGCCCCTGCCATAGCAACCTGAAGTCCTATTCATGCTCGAGCTGCTCTTCTCCATTCAGGGATGCAACAGCCAAAATAGAATTCGGAGAAATTTTCGGAGCAGCAAAATATTACTTTTGAAGCACTAAAACCCAAGTTTGTAGCAGATCACAAAAAAAGGACATAAGTTTTTAATCATGCAAGACCAAATTCGGAGCAATATAAAATAGAAGGCTTAAATTTTGAAGAAAAAAAACTATATGTACAAGCCATTCTACCTCACCTAAATCATGCAGAGTGAACATGAGCACCGCTTTTTCAAAGAAAGTAGTGTATTAAACCAACCTGCGAGCAAACAATTATGAAGTACACATTAGCATTTACCCCACCCCTCAAGTTCTTTGACAGACTGCGGTCGCGCGGGTAACACCGATGAGACGCGAGCCAAGGAAGCCAAGTGCAAGCGTCTTCAACGTGCCCGCCACTCTGCTTCGTCCATGCCCCACCAACGATCCGCCACGTACGGCAACTATTCAGGAGATTGAGGCACTCGTTCTCCGCGTGCCCAGGCCCAGCCCGCGCAGCAGCCAATCTGACAGTAGTGGTACAGCTCCATCTAGAACATCCTCACTCAACTGCAGTTTGTATGTACATCTATACAGCGCCATCTAGAATATTCTCACTCAAGTGCAGTTTCTATGTACTTCTATAACACAGCGCCATCTATTCTGTTCGGGAGATACTGCCTTCTTTTTTTCCTCTTCTTTGGTTATGCGTGACGCATGACAAGGTTAGAGTGAGAGGCGCTTCGCCTCTAAAATGAATTGATGTGAACCTAATACCTTCATATAACCTTGAAGTGGGGCCTCGTGGCAATGCAGGAATTTTATCTATATTTTCACGGCTTAGCACCACTTCACATCAGTGAAGCCACTTTTACAAAAGAGTTACATGTGAACCGATATATACTTCTCTAGGTGTTTTCACTGCTTAGCAACACTCCACTACAGTGGAACAACCTTTACTAGATGTTACATGTGGATTAATATGCATTTATTCGCTCGTCTAGAATAATTCAAAATTTTCAATAATTCAAGTTATATGAGAAGCAAATTTGAATACTGCATCATTCGTTTGAATATATGAAGCATTAGAATATTCGCCCAAGCCTACTAATTTGATATGGACGCGGTTGCGTTCTTCGTGTAGCCCACGTGTGTGGCTCTGTCCATGATAAAACTCTACTAAACTTGGCGTTGCACACGCAAATTGCCATTTAGGTGCAGCAGGTGAGATTGGTGCAGAATGACACAATTGGTGCAGCACTTCTACCCCTGTGTGTGCATCTTCCAAACAACCGCAGCAACCATGTCTTGCAGATATGCCAGCAATTGTGTGTTAGAACATGCCGCTGTATCGAACTAGACTGATAATAGTGATTGACAGTAAAGTTGATCTGTAGTCTTGAACACGCCTCACTTGTAACTGGCAACATGGCAGCCAGACCTACACGCAACTCTGCTATCTAAACATAGCATATAGTACAGTAACTCTGCTGCAACATGCAGTCCATACACTCAGCTCTAAAACAACTCCCCTCTTCACAAGTTTTCAGTGATCACACACACATCAAACACACATACACACACAGAGGGGGGGGGGGGGGGCCAATGACAAATGTAACAACCAGCAACAAAGCCTAGAAACAAGAGTTCTTGTCTTCATCCGAGGCCAGGAGGAAAACAAGCTCCATGTGTTTCAGTCTTAAACCCCGAGAAGAGCCAAATGGCTGGCACACTATGATAGGCTAACATCAGGAAGCCAAGCACAAAGGACTTCCATTCCATAACAACAGTCTTACCTCATTACGAAGTTGCATATGACAAGAATGTTTTCCCCCTATTTACTATGCTATGAACGCATTCATTGAACATGAATATCAGTGAGAGATAATGATTTTCTCCTTTGAGTTCTCAACATCGACTTTTGTTATTCTGAAAGTCGACAGATCATAAAACATGGAGACAATAATCTTGGCAATTAGTCAGAACAGCGACATCATTCCATCACAGAAAACTGCCCCAACAAAGGCTCCACGAGAGATATGTTCACCTTTTGCAGCCGCAAGTTGCGCATCTTCTTCTGCAGCTGCTGCACCTTTCGGCGGGTGATCTGGTTTTCTAGATGGCGGCGACTTTCGGATGCGCTGTCTTCATCACTCAGCTCTGGGGCGGTGTGATCCTCACTGCATCTTGCAAGTCACGCATGCACTTAGGGTGCGCACCAGTTCTCGCAGCCAGTGAGCAAAGTGGGAGCAGAGGCAATGCTCAAATCGCCTTCGCCAGAAACGCATGGGTAGTAGTATGCAGGCTGAATCAAGCTTCCCATGCGTCTCTTTCTACCTGCCCAAGACAATGCCAATGCTGCCTTAGAGGCTCAATTTGCCTTTTGCCAACCAAGCATTTTTTCATCATAGCCAGCTTTCAAGTCATTTGCAAGCTCTGTGGACTGTTTATCTGTGAAAGCAAAGCAACACTTTTAATAACCTATCGTGCAGCCAAAAAAAAACTTTTTTTACAGCTGTGAATGATTCTTCATAATTAACCACATAAGAAGAATATATACACTTTATGCGAGGCACTGATGATTGATATGAGGGGTTTGACGTCCCGAAACCGATATATTATGAGTGATGCCGTGGTGGAGGGCTCCGGAAATTTCGACCACCTGGGGTTCTTTAACGTACGCTCAAATCTGAGCACACGGGCCTACAGCATTTTCGCCTCCATCGAAAATGCAACTGCCGCAGCCAGGATTCAATCCCGCGACCTGCGGATCAGCAGCAGAGTACCTTAGCCACTAGACCATTGCGGCAGGGAGAGGCACTGATGTTACACACAATTGAGTATACAAGACATCGAGTGAGTACATATAAATGGGGGTTCACAAAGCAAATTAGAACCTGGAACCTTGCTTATTGATTGATTTGATTGATTTGTGGGGTTTAACGTCCCAAAACCACTATATGATTATGAGAGACGCCGTAGTGGAGGGCTCCGGAAATGTAGGCCACCTGGGGTTCTTTAACGTGCACCCAAATCTGAGTACACGGGCCTACAACATTTCCGCCTCCATCGGAAATCCAGCCGCCACAGCCGGGATTCGATTCCGCGACCTGTAGGCCAACAGCCGAGTACCTTAGCCACTAGACCACTGTGGCGAGGCATGGAACCTTGCTTTTAAGAGATGCCTCATACAGTCGCCACTCGTTATAACGGACCCACGTACAACAGGCTTTCGAATACAGAGGGCCATTATTAAGCCTAAGTTTGGTCTGCATATTAAGTTGATGGAGCGAAGTTCACTTTAAACGAACCATGATGCGACGCACTTTACAGTGTACAAAATTAGTGGAATTTCTCTTCAAACTTGGGCGCATAAAGTCAAGAGAGCACTTAGACCTAACTTGCCTCAACACCAGCCAACACAAGCCTCGCAGGCACATATACAGTCATTCCCAGTGCTCCAACCCCTTAAGAAATTCACATAGACGGTGGCGCCATTTTATCCTTTAGCTAGGTATTTTAGTGGAAAACTCAAAGCAGTCAGAGACCAGTTTTCTAGACTCCTCAGAAACTGCAAAATCCCCCCAAAAACTAATTTCGCTCAAGTAAGCAAACTGTTGCACCTACATCTAAAACAGCTTCAATGCCTTTCAGTATCGAGAATTTGCTGCGTGACCAGGTTCTAGCTAATACACTCGGTACCTGCCCAAAACCTCGCTTCGGGAGACGCTCCTCGAAAAAGTTTTTTTTTTATTTCTAGTAATAGAGACTTGAAAAGTTTGTTATTAGTATAGTTTTTCATGCAGATTTCAAATATGCAATCATTTTTTGTGTAGCTGCTATAATTATTGAGTTATGCCATAAACAATAGCAAAAAGTTACATTTTTTGCGGGCACTCTTTTATGTACTAAACTTTCAGTAAAAGCACTGTGTCTGATCTTATTTGACTCTTGGTAGATTGAAAAGTGCAAATATCTATATAGATATGTCACAGAAATATTGGAACCAAGAAAAAAAAAATTGTATTGAATGACTTATTATTTTCAATCTCCCTTGAAACAATAAGCTAATATTTTCACAACTAATGCTGGTAGGCATTGCAATTTAGAGTAGATATTTGCATTCTGCATGTGTTGAAGAATATGTGTGCCAAGTTTCGTTACTATACAATGAATATAAGTTTCTAAAAGGCTGCCCGGAAAACGTGAAACTGTCAGAAAAAATGAGAATGAGAAAAACAAGTTTGAAAGTTCGCAAAGTTGGCATTTATTAGGAAATCATTCTTTTTGCATCAAATTGGGGCACAATGAAAAGTACCTTGCCTTGAATGCACTGCAAGTGTCTAGAAGTCCCCTGCACCATAGCTTGGTTGGTCCTTCACGGCTCTTGCGGTCAGTGTCCTCAACACGAGCTCTCTTCGCTGTGTTGCGACGGTGTGCCCTCGCTTCTGCAGTTTGCTTCAGGTTCATCTTCCTGATGCGCATGACGTCACAGTGGTCACCATGTGTGGCCAGATCTTGTGAGGGGAGAATTCCAATGCCTTCGAGCACTTCTTCAAAGCCCCTGTGGCCTTTGTTGTACCAGAGTACAGCAAGAGCGGTGGCTGTCTCCACAGTTGTTCTGGAGGCGAACTTTGTTTTTGGACACAACAGCCATATCTTGCTGTTCAGCGATTCGGCTGCATTCTGCGTCTTGCCATGAAGGCACCGAATAAGGAGTTTCTCCTCTGTAAGGCGCTTGTAGATAGGCATAATTGCCAATCCTTGAGCCTTTGTCAACAGTGGGGTGTGGCGTGGTGCAGGCTCCCCCAGTGCTTCCGCACGCTTGTGCTAGCACCACGAATTTGGTCCCGCGGGCAAAAGTTGTGGCTACTGGCACCATCACTGGAGCAGCAATGAAAATACGATGCCCATATGGCAGTGTACATATTTCGGACACTGTCCTTGTTGCTCGTGATGGCGATCTTGTAATATGTTTGTAGTTTTATTATTGTCGCATCTTTCAGTTTTTCGCCTCGTGGCAGTGGCGTTGCCAATTTCTGTAGGGCAGTTCCCAAGCGCTTTGCAACGTGGTTCGTGCACTCTTCTTTGTCAATGGGGGTGTCACAGTATACATTTGCCTCGCAGACTGCAGTGTAGGCCTTGCTGTCACCATCACTTAGGAAGCTGGTGAATCGCAGTGGAGTTTCATAAGACAAGGTCCTCTGCCATATATTGACAGCTGCCGCAGGTTCCATTGCATGGGATGAGCAGTCAGTGTTTTTTTGGCAAACTGGAAGATGAAAAGCTCGCCATATCTCTTCATCCTCCCCAAGGTCCCTGTGTATACTGCAAGCATGGCAGTAGTTCGAAAGAACTTCAAAATCGAGGCAGAGCCCCGTGTCCAGGGACACGACCGTGCCCACTCCATTGTGGCTTTTATGACCTCTTTTCTGCCAGGTGCCATCAAACATGACTGGCACATCTCTGCCGCCGACTGCGTCCTTCGTGATTTTTCGTGCCTGGTGCAAGTTTTTGCTCACTGCCGTCATCGCCGCACCATGGAGCTTCTTGCAAATGCCGTTGAATGTCTTGTGATGCATCGGGCTCGGAAGACCGAGAATCGCACAAAATCGTGAAAGTTGGTCGTGGCCTGCGCCTATAGCGCGTGCTGCCAGAACTGCCTTCACGTTTACAGCAAAGCTGTCACGCGAGCTGCCGCTGTCAAAACGAGCGCTCGTTCCTTGGTCCCCGGCCGAAGCAGTACGTCTCGACGTGTGCGTGAACGAAAGTGCAGATTCAGGGCAATCAGAATTTTGACAGCACAGTTCGAGGAATGCCGAAAGTCCTTTGCACTTTCCAGCTGCCTCTCGCACGCCAAGCTTCCGTTCGCGGCAGGTTGGGCATTGCGCACCCGCCACAAGTGCCGTCAGCGCATCGATTTCGCAAAGCAGCATGTTCGCAGTAGCAGCATATACCGGTATACGTTCACTCTCGAAGAATCCAATCTTCCTTTGGGATGCACTGACGAATTCCACGGCAGCGGCTATTTCACAACCACTGTCGCAGGGTTCGGTGACGGTGTTAGGCCTATCTGAAGTCTGAGCGTCGGGGCGTTGGTCGGGAGCGACATCGTCGTTCGCTGTCGCTTTGGGAAGCGTCGCTTTGCGATACTTGTGGCGAGTTCTGAACTTTCGATTATCTGAACTGCACTTCTTCGGGCTTGCCATGACGCAAAAATGCAGAGAAACACAGAAAAACTCGATCGCGACGTCCGAGGCTTCGCTCTTTTGCCGGAGAGATAGGAGGGGGAGGAGCGTGGAGCGCACCGCCGTCCAATGGCGGCCTCGCGCTGTGTGCCGCGATATTCAAAACGCGTGACGTACGCGTTGTTTTTCTCGTTTTTTGTTTATTCTGCGTGAAGGCACGAGACTGGCTACTAGTGGATTATGAAGGATACGACCTTCGCAGCATGCGTGCACGATTGCAAATGGCGGCCAACGCGTCGTTTTCGCGACAGGACGACGCGAACTTCGCCGTTTTTCGCGACTTTCGCGCATTTCTCGCGTCACCGCTGCCCACTTGGAAGCATTTTTTGATAATTTCTCGTGCGAATTTCAGCTTGATATTTTCAGAAGTAATACATTATAGTCCAAGGATGCCAATACAGCCGGAAAAAAAAAAAAAAGCGAAAATTTTCCGGAAAACCGCGACTTTTCGACCCGCGTCTCCCCTTAATCGAACCTTGCGAAAAAAACCTCCGTAGACATGTTGTAAGAGGATACCACATTCTCAACAAATTTGCAAATTCAAAAACTCTTCAGTGTTCCTTTAAGTACATCACCAAGGGAACATTACAGACAAAACCCGAAATAATGGCGTCTTTACTGTAAAGATTCAACACTCAAAGCCATTCTACCTTGCTTTTCCAAAGTACAACTTTCAAAGCCAAACACTGCTATGGTCACAAGCAAACACACTCGCGAAAGACTATAGATGCGGAGAGGGGGGGGGGGGGGGGGCTTTAATCATGCAGTGGTCAAGAGATTTGACCAGACAGCCAGAAAATCAGAAGTTGAAGAGTATTCATGTCCAAATTTTCAGAAGTTCTTGTATGCAAATTTTGAAGCATGTCCAAAAAATCGGAAGTTGACAAAACATAAATTCGATGTGCCAGCTAGCAATGCTTACGATATTCTGTATCAACAGCATCGGCACATGATGACACGCATGCCACTTAATAGGTACATTTGATATAAATCTGTTCGGCGGTGCCTACATATTCGCTGTGTCACTACTATCCCACCTCATGCCTAGAGATAAATACAGGTTCATTCAGATATAAGTAGTACATACTTACAATTTATAAATAGGGAAAAATGGGGTAACACGTTCTATTATTTCTATTCTTTCACAACGCCAACGAACAGCGGGCAACCAAATAGCCGGCTAGCATGAAATACACATTTTTCCCATGGTGCTTCACATGCCTGTGGGGGGGCCTTCCAAGATTGCTTGATTTGATTGATATGTGGAGTTTAACGTCCCAACACCACCATATGATTATGAAAGATGCCGTAGTGTAGGGCTCTGGAAATTTCGACCACCTGGTGTCTAAGATTGCTTGAAAAGGGTCTTTGGACTCTGCAGCACAGGCTGTTGGTAAGTACCATAACAGAAGCCACTGCTGGATCATGGCAGGGTCTCTCATTATTACACGGTTTATAAATTATCTATACAAATGTAGAAGTAAAGTTGCCAGCTCAAAATCTGAGCATCATGGTTCATTCTCTGAGGCGACCCACAGGTGTGAATTTTTGCAAAGCCAATAATTCACACGATGAAAGAGCACCGCGCATGCTGCTGATTGCACCCGTGCAAAGCTCACACCAGCCGCTTGCTGATGGTGGCAGCGAGAATCTGCCACGCATACCCGTGTTTCCCTCAACAATGGACCATCCCGTATGTTGTCACTCACTGCAAACACTACACTTGACTTCCATAAATGACAATTACAATACAGGTATCTCTCATTGCATCATCACTAGCAGAAAGTTCACCAGACACCCACAAGGTACACACAAAGATTCATTAAAGAGAAACTTGAAATCTAGCCATTAGGCTTATAATCAAGTTCTTAGAGCTGATTAAATTGCCCTCCAACCGCAAATTACTACAAATCTTTTGGTAGGCTCAACAAAGTGTGCCTGACAAAGATTTTTTTTTTTTTTTTCTCAGCCATGCAGCTTCACACTTTTGCATCTTTTTTATCTATGAAAATGCAGTATCTTTTTTGTTCTCAACAGGGTGAACAGCTCCAAGACAACACCTGGCAGCACTTCATTGACTTCCTAGCAGGCTCATAAATATGCAATACAATGCACCCTAAAGAATAGTTAAGCTTTAAATACCAGGAAAACGCTCACAACTCGAAGCACTGGTAAGAGCAGGCATTATTGGCCGAGTCATCAAGAGTAGCAGCATGCAGTATTCACCTGAGCAGCCCCGAAGGAGTCTTGACTGTTGTGTCCAGTACCGTGTACAGGTGGACCCTCTCTCCATCGCGCATCACCACAAGCCGCACCGCTCGAAGGCGAGGGGCACACAGGCTCACTTCCTCCCTAACATGGTCACAAATGTAGTGTGAGACAAAGCCCCACTAAAGTGTAACACTTCCTGCAAAATTCAACGTTTTACCAACGCTGTTTATATTCCCAATGCTGAGAATGATCATCACTGCTGCTACCACAAGCGAACCAGTTCTCCACATATTCTCTACAAACCATGTAGCCAGCTTTAGAATAGTACATATAACAATCGGCCAAATCCGCTCACTGACAAATAATGTAAAATGACAAATAATGGAAAAGACAACCTTATTCTGACACTGCCACAAAGTGTAGCTACAATCTTTCTAGCACAATTATGTCAGTGTTAGCATGCAATACCGTATGTACTCACACAATAGGCGCACTCGCATAATAGGCGCACCCCAATTTGGTCTTGAGAAACCAGGTTTCTTTTTTTTTTCCCCGCATAATAGGCGTACTCCGAACTTGGCCGTGATCAGTAGTTCTGTACCGTATTTGCACAGTTGCTATTCGACACCCTCTTGCTTAACAGGAACGACGAAATTTTTTTTAAATCCGCCCGCATCTTCCCACGGGGGGAATTCGAGTAAATGCATTGCAGAGTGGTGGGGGTATCTCATGAATGTTGCGTAATTGGGTATGGTTTGGGAATGCTTAATTGTTATTTCGTCTTTATTATTCTTATTTATTGAATGAAGGAGAAGCAAAGGCAAGGAGTGTAAAGCTAAAGTGTGTATTGCCGTTGTCCTATTTGACGGAGAGCATGACTGCTTAGTGGTCGCTAAAGAGCACTGTCAAGGAGTCTTTGAGGAGTGGTCGCGCGTTTGCGTAACTGGTGAAGACGAGGCCGATGCAATTGCCGTGGATGGTGGTAGACTGGTTGCCGTTGTTGACGTTGTTGGACACGCAGTACAGCCTGTGTTGAGCGCACATGTAGTCGACTAACCAATCGTTTTTACGTATGTCGATTTTTGCAAACGCACGTACACGCTGTTCACTGCACGGTCGACGTAAGCGTGATCATACGCGACGTCGATCCAGCCACCCTTCAAGTCAACATTGCCACACTTATTCCAAAGAGCGAATTGGTCTGCTTCGCTTTGTTCTTGATGCTTCCAACCAGCGTAAGGTCATTGTCGAACCACAGTTGGTCACACACCTTACAGCTGTGTTCGAAGCTGTGGTCTTCGAAGTCGTGTTTGCAACGAGCGGCCGGCTGTGCAAACTGCTTGGCTCGCCCCGCCCCTTTCGCAGCACGCTCGGGTTCACGAGCAACTTCCAGAGCCGCCTCTCGTTGACGACTGCTTCTCGTGCACGAAGTTTGGAATCTGCAGCACGACGTTGCCGTCGCAGCTGCTTCTCGTTCCCCGAGTGAAGGATCCACAGCTCGTTTAAAACGCTTGCGTTCAGCGTCATATGCTCGTCTCTTCGCAGCCTTGTCTTCTGCGTTGCTTGCTGTTGTTGATGCTGAAGACGGTAAGGGTGAGGTAACGTTGCGTTGAATGAGTGGTGGGACGATGATCTTGGTTTGTGCCCCAGTACTGGTTCAAGGTACTGTTACCATCTGTTGCTTCCATCGCATCTACTCGAGTCAAGCAAAGCGTAAAGTCATGCGATTGAGGGGGAGGAAGAAGGGATGAAAGGGGTGAGAGGGAGGGGAGACAAGCATGCGCAGTGGGGGTGTGGACGTCGATAACGAGTTACATGGTGCGACTAGGAAATGCTCTGCATTTAAAAGCCCGCGGCAGTGCTGCGCTGGCTCGTTGAGTAAGGAAGAAGAGATTTGCCTGAGCATCAGAATGACCTTTGCACCGGCACCGGCGTGGCTCCGGCAACATGCGCTCCGCTTGCAACATGCTATCGCGTTCTCATAACTGCACTGGAGTTTCCCATCAGGAAAAGAGTCGACGTTATCACATTCGCTACCTCATCCAGCTTTCCTTACGCGAGCTTTCGCCTTAGATGCCACTACGCACGCTTGCACAAGCTCAGCGGACTTTTGTTACCGTTGATTTCTCGACCTCGAGCTTCAACATTGCATCACGCGCTGCTCTTGGATCAGTGCTTCTCCACAATCTTCATATTGTCTTATACAAACTTCCCGTGACAAAATGCCGAACAGTAGAGTAATCAGCATTTGTTGCTTTTCGGTAGAGGTCTGAGGCGATTTTATACAGAATCAACGTAACTCTTTGCAGTGGCTTTACTTGAAGAAAAGAAGGCATAGGTGGCGCTTGTAACACTCAATGACGGTCCATGCTTCAATTGCAATGTCTTTGGACATGGGTTGCAAGGCCGTGAAATGAACACTCGCTACCGTTCAGTGCACAAAATTTCGGTCATGATAATGCACATAATCTAGGTGGCCCGAAGCATAATTGGCGAATTTACGCAATGGTATTCCTTCCGAGTCTCCTCTCCCCCCCCCCCTGCGTTGATTTTGTCGAGAAAGTGGGTCTTTCGATGTTAATATTGTAGAAATTGAATGCTTGTAAGCACACCGCATCGAAGAAAACTGCATGCTCAACAGGTTTTGTGGTAGCGTAGCTTATGAAGAAGGTTGTTTCAACAATTCGGGGCGAGATCGGGCTATAGGTGGCAGCACTGTCCCCCATGAAAGTGTAGATAGGCGGTCAGCGGCGTGTATACAAATACACGCAGCGGCGCTTCGTTGCGTGTGGTCCGAGCCGATTGCCAGTAGATAAAATGCATTTACAGTTTACTGGTAATATATACGCTCTTATCTACTTAATCGATGCACCAAGCCTATGCAACATTGCCATTACCCACGAGTAAAGGGCATTGTGCCTTTCATAATGATGCTCGCCCTGAGTGACTCTCCATGCTTTTGCACTAAATCTTGCCTTTGCTGTGTTGTTTGTACGTAGTTAGCTTGTGTTTCACCTGCTACCCACTGCTGTAGAGTGACTGAACTACTTATTTATATCTTTGTCACCTGCATACTACAAAAAAAGGGGAAGATCGTACAAAACCCACTGTCCGATTGGTTCAGTACCAGTGGCGTACCAACTTCTTCGGGAGTAGGGGGGGGCTACATTTCATCACTACATCAGCCGTATATAGACCAGCCCTCACTCCTTCATACAAGCAGAGCAATATTTATAGTTGATAAGTTGTTTATGAATAAAATCATTCAAAAGAGTTGAGCACTAGCTTTCTATAACTGGGTTGTCGGAACAATTATGAAACTGTAGCTTGAATTGATGCTTTGTCCAGTGTGCTGCCAGGTTTGATAATCAGTCATTACGTTCGTATTTTCTGTCACACCTTTATAATTTCCCATTGGCGCACCTTCCACTTCGTCTAATAAATATGTGGCCATATATCGGAGGGATATACATAACCGGATCGCATATGCATCCACCTTATTATTGTGCTCAATAAACCCCAGAGTTGAGAGTCTCCGCTGTATGCGCATTTGCCATCCAAGTTATATTTAGCCCTATACAAGTCGATTCAAGACAAAACAATACCACCTAAGTTTTGGCACGGCATTTGAGGTGGTTTTATTTCACACAAATTATACCAATTTGGTTCACATTAGCTGTAGTTGCCAAGTTTCTGTTTAATATTTTGACAAAAAGTAAGCTGTTATTATCTAAATGAATTGTAAATGTAGTGGTGTTATCAGTGTTTCGATCCCCCAATGCAAATTAGAAAAGCTGCCAAAATGCTTCCTCAAGGCCTTCCATATTTAAGCTCTTTTTAGACTGACCATTTTTTGTGCAAACTGGAGTCTCATTTCAGCATTGTAAATAGGATGCCTACGGCGAATGTTTTACTTCTCCATCACCTTGTATTTCGCTGTCTACACAAATCATGTAGTTCACAAAGCTGACTATTTCGGAGGACTTTTAATAATAAGCAGTGTACTAATTTTTAACTGTAAGAGTTCGCTAATATAGTAAAAGCTTGTTCATTCGACACTTGTTACTTCGGAAAATTGGAGAGTCCGAACGTATATTCTCTGGCCCGGCCAGCGTATTTATGGCACGAAAACTCTCATTGATTTAGTGAAATTTGGCCACAATCCGGTTAATACATTCCTCGGAGGGTTCTGAGCGTGACGCACTCTAAATGTATGACGCAAAGGTGGGAAAATGTAATTCGGGGAGAGCCAAAAATAGTACGCACCTTCAGAGAGCCGCGGTCACCACCCACAATAGTCTTGTCAGTACGTAACAAGGTATTGGATCAGATGACACTTCGGATTGGCACACAGGGGTGTTGAGCCATATTCATATTGTGAACGAAGCCACAAATGGCGAAAATTGGGGCTTTTGCGATGTTCTTATGCAAAAAAAAAAAAAAAGGACAAGGTATACAACCTCAAGCCTGAAAAAAGTGTGGATTATAACCTTCGTTTCTTTTGTCCTCCATTTCTTTTTTTTCTCCTTTCCATTTTTTCTCTCTAGTTATTTATCTATTTCTGTTATTTCTTCCGCTCTCTATTTCTCTTGCTTTTATTTTTCTTCCTACTTATTGCCTACCTCTTCTTGTTTCGCGCTTGCTTCCTCATTTTCGATGTTTTTATATATTTCTTTGTGCCTACGTTACTTAGCAATGAAGACGATCGAAGAACATGAGCAAGGCAAAAGTGAGCAAGGCGTGCAAGACAAACGTAAAGTGCAACTCCAAAATCTTTGCGTATACGAGAAATCCCAGAGGCCATGCTTAACGTTTTGATTGAAGGCCGTGCCGTGGCACTTCAAATCATCATCATTTATTGTCCCTTAAGGGCCCTGGATTGGGCATTACATATAAGTTAAATGTCAAAGTTCTGAAATTTTACTTCATATTTCAAGTTTGTTTTTGTAGCTCCATGTACTAACTGAAAGTAATTTTAAGAAACAAAGAAAACAAATATGAAAAAAATAAGAAGTTTCACTAAAAATTTCGAACTCAACATCTACAGTTGCAATTCGAACCCAGGTCTTAGCAGGCAGTCTCCCTCTCCACTACTTTGATGGAGCTGCGCACAACTCTTAAAACCATTACACATTGCAGACTACCAGTCAAGGCACCTCAAGCAGCTTTTTGTACAATGGTGCTGTGGCCGTTCCGAGCATTAATCTCCTGTTAAAGTATTCAAGTACACCCTAGCTTCTCTAAATGAATAGCCATGTCCCAAGTTCTGCACTGTGGAGAATACGGCTGTGCATCCTTGTCTGCTGACACAGCATTGCAATCTACGATGAAGGGTTAAAGTAGTGTGTGAAATTGAAGTCAAGTCAAGTCAAGTCAAGTTTATTAAATAGTTCAGCTGTTACATGGTTAGCGTTATTACAGCAGGAGGTCCCAAAGTTTCAGAGAAACTGACAGGGGGACCTCCTATGGCTACATGGATGGGGTAATTACAAAAAAAAAGCGTATCGCATTTACAAAGCAGTTGATTCTTTCATCGCAAAATCCGCGGTCACACTACTTGCCATAAATTTGGACTTCTCAGAAGCGTGCCATTCAAATCATCTTTGTTTGCTCATGGCTTTTTGCATTCATCTTACCAGACATATCTATTTTAGTTTTCTTTAAATTCTGAGCTGATAGTTTGTGCCAATTTTGCGTTAGTTTCTGCTTTCTTGTTCTTTTGCCACCAACTCACTTAGATGTTTCTTCCTTAATGACAAAGTTTGCGTTCCGTAAAATTGCCTGCGTACTACGCGACGTCACAAATCTGTGAAAGCTTGTTGCGTTAAAATTACGTGTGCACAATAAGCAGTGCATTACTGTGGTGATCTTTTTCAGCACTGACGAACAGTATCTCCTGTGAAGTGTAATTAAAAAAAAAAGATGCCCATCTATCAGTTTGGCGGCAGCTTCTATAGCAGTTGGCAACATGGATTCCAGTGCATTTAATAAATATATTCAGTAATACAACAATGTTGAGCCATTTATGCCCTTGGACAGCTCTCTGAACTATTTCCAGATAGGGAGAAGTAAACATTACCAGAAACAGATGAGAGCATTCACAGGTGGGCAGTCTTCTTGGTCCCGAAAAGTGTGTACTCTAACCATCTTCCTGCTCAGACCGATTGATCAAATTGCGGGGCAAGCCTCTAAGCTGAGCTTCCTTCTGTGCTCCAGTCGAATGCCTTATGTACCACATTGTTGCAAGCCATCGTGATTTTTTCAAGCTAACATCATTTAAGTTATACAGGCGAGACTGGTAAAGTGGAGACGACAATGCGAACTATTTTTAATTCTTCTGACTCGGCCCCCTCAAACACACTTCTATACGCCCTCGTCGACTCACGGCAACTGGGATATAAGCAGCAGCGATTGAATTTGTTTGCTAAGAAATACATAATTTTTTTTTCAGGCAGGAAGAAGTCAATTCAGCGTTTCCTACATCTACTGCTCTGTAAACTTCAGGTCCGGCAAACCACAATAAAGGCACGACAGAGTGGTTCAACGTGCTAGAGCCCCAGCTGAGTGGTAGCTTTCTCTGCAACGTTCAAGCGCAAGGCGCGAAAGCATTGCATAAGCAGCCTGCAACGTAGAAAGCTTACAGTGCACAATCGCAAGAGACACGAAAAAAAATGCTATCTGCAAAAGTCTAGGAAAAGCATCTTACAAAACGTCATTATATATAATGTGACAGCTGCGCTGTATGAAAATTTCTCAGGGGGCAGCCTACAATGGCCACTGCCGAAAGTGGGGGACTCAGCCCCCCTTACTTTTCTTAGTGGGGGGATAGCAGTGCCCCCTTACCCCCCCTTCACCAGGAGATATGCCTATGTTCAGTACCACCATTTGCACCTTATACGCACAATTTTTTTTTTCTCTCATTCCGCTCACCACGAAATGTGGGTAAGTCGATAAGTCTAGTCAGGAAAGCTTAGGGGCTGATGTGCTTTGCGCTACACTGCATTTACTATGTGTACGCTCATGCTCTTGCACCAGTAATCTTATATTAAAATCTTATAATATAAATATGAATTCAGCAGAAAGCTTTCATCGATGGATTATTACGTGCATGGCAGTGTCACAACAAAGGCCTGGTTAATGGGATAAGCATGTTTTTTTTTTGCTTTTTTTTTTTCAGACAAAAAAATGACCACTGCCTTCCTTCGGTCACTCAGAATGCCCCACAAACGCTGAAGACAATGTAAAAAAGATGAAAGTGAAATCATACGACATTATATATAAGGCATGCCAACTTAACTTTGAACATATGGGCTGTTTAACGCGTTCTTAAATCTTAGCACATAGTTGCGCACGGTAACTCTGTTCCAAGTAGAGTTCAAGTACCAAAGTGTCACAGATTATGGGATAGTAATACTTCTATAAAGTGGTACCACGGCCAGATAAACACAACTAAGGCTCCTCGCATGATCAAGAAACTACAGTGCCGTAGTTATGCGATAGTAATATTTCTATGTAGTGGTACCACGGTTACATAAACACAACTAAGGCTCCTCACATGATTGATAAACTACAGTGCCGTAGTTGTACACTTACCAACAGCGCGCAAGTGCATGACCTAGAGCTTTTTTTTTTAAAACAGAGTCGCTATAAAACGCTGCATTCACACACCATTTATTAGTCCACATGTTTGGGAGGATGTCAAGGGCATTTTGCAATGTGCTTGAAACAGAAAAGGACCCCCACTCTGAAAGTATTCTGGGGAATGGAGGATACGACGACAATAAACAGCACTCTGGATAGTTGGACTCGCCAATCGTATTACAATGCATTAACAGCCGAGCAAGACCAAACGCTTTCGCACGTGATTTCAGGCATACGTAAAAACAGTTGCACTCGCGCTGACATGATCGGACAAACCACACTTTGAGAACGTGCGTGACATATGTGCACATAGAAAAGGAACGTGGCTAGCAGACGACGCACGGAGCGATCCACACTTCGCCCCTTCAATTTGCCGCCAGGCGGTGACTCTGCACGATCTCGCAGCCAATAGTGCAGATATCCTGACTTCGGTGACTTAAGTTATTAACGATCTATGCTGTAGTCTGGAATGATAATTTCGGAAATTTTACCCCGCATACTAGGCACAATCCAAACTTGGCACCAGATTTTCGAACATAAATGCACCTGTTATGCGAGTAAAAAGGTATATTTCTCAGGTTTGAGTCACTCGTGTTGCCCGTTTCTTCCTTGGCCCTTTCTATGAGCCGCACTCCACGTTTGTTTCAACATGTTAACTCGCCCAACTAGCTCTGCTTATCGGGGCAAAAAGAAGCAGAAGCTCTCATTTCATATGCTGGTGTTCAAAATGAGAAGCATACACCTACCCTGTGGTATCCAGATATTTGGCCACATCCTGTAGAGTTGACCGCTCCTCCAGGTACGCTGTGTGCACAGGACAATAAAATGAAACTATTTTATACCCCAAGCCACCCCAAGTCGCTGGCCGAACTGAATGACACCTACAGAGCTAGGATAAATAAAAAACAAAACATCCTGCCCCAGCACTGCACACGGTAACAACTTAGGAAAAAATATGGCGGTCGCCACAATACACACTTGTCACAGAACACTCCACAAAAATGAAACGAGCTGCAAAAGAGATTGCAGCAAAGAGTATTTGGTTAGTCCGAAGGAGCATACAGACACGTCAAACAACACACACACTCTGCCCGTACAAAACAGCAGATTGACATCAAACGACTGATCTGCCCCCCACGCAAACAAGGGGAGCAACAACTTTTGTAGAGAAAGGTTATGCTTCACCTTCTCTCAAACATTGTTACAATGAACTGATGAAAGTTTCTTTAAAAGATTTTTCCACATGTTTCACTCCAACAAGCATATTATAACTGATCATTTGATGACAACACAGTCGAAATCTGCTGGCACGCAACTGCCAGTAATTGTCTGGTGAAATAACTTTATGCTGCTGTAGACTGAAGCCTACACAACCAGGCCCATGTACACATTTACTTTTCACTTTGGGTGGTATTGGCTAGTAATAGTGAACTGCCATTATAATACAGTAGTGAGTAATATGAAAAATTCAGCACCCCGTACTGCTGCAGTGTGGTGACCTTTTATCGCAAGCAGCAGAGTGGTGGCCTCCCCCAGTTAGGACAGCTACGAGATGTTACAACATAACAATTCAGCACCTACAACCCAAAAAAACGTAGCAAGCATGCAAATTCTGCTACATTGTTACACTGAAAAAGCAATGTATAGTAATAAAGACAAAAAATGTAAATGAACAAATCGGCGCATTTATGTGCTTACGTTTGCTCCTGACAATCACTATAACCAAACTGAAAGGCAAAAGGTAACACAGGTGCCACTTGACAACCACAACTCTAACTAAAGGCAAAAGCAATGTCATCACAGTTTTGTTTTTAACTTCGTACTGCTGCTCTCAATTTCGGAGTAGCAACAGTTATTGATCACAAGCTCAGTGATGTGCCATTGCAATGCCAGTGCTCATAAAGATGCATTAGCTTAAGCTGGCCTCCACTTTTTATTCTCAGTCAAGCTTGCAAAAATATACCAGGAGTGCTCAATCAAAACAATACAGTATCAAATTATTATTATTTAATAAAACACTACATACAACAAACTCAAAATAAACTCAACACGTGGGTTAAGTTGCAGAAAGGGTACGAGACTGGGCTAGGTCTTCTATTAACATCCCCCAACAAGACAAGGGGCAGAAAAAGAAGCAAAAGCGTTGACTTGCACCTAGCCAGCCTGCAGGTGGCACACAAGGCATGTCACGTTTCCCTCTAGTCAGGCCGTGGTTTTTAATAACTTACACGCCCCGGGCTCGCAACATAAGCCCAATTTCTGCATTCAATCAATGTTGCTTTTCTGGCTGTCACACCGCTTTTTGTGATTGCGCTCTTATCCTTGATAAAGAGTACTTAACAGCGCAAACGACAGGAAAGGATAGAGAAGACGAGACAGAGCGCTATATATGTTATACCAACATGCCCTATCCTACTGTCTCTCATCCTTGACTGCTAGAGCCACTACAATGGTTGAGATTTAAACACTGATCAGGGACGTCAGTCGTCGAGATAAAAATGTAGTACCTCCAAGCGTCAACATGAGCATATATCCAATAAACAGTGCTATAGCTCCCAACCACAAATACACATTGTGCAAGCTTGCTTATTTCAATGTACGGCAGACATACAGCTACTTTTGTAAGATCACGTTTTACTTTCGTGACATAAAGATTCCTATGAGTGAGAAATTAACCAAGTCCTTGTGCATTGCTTCTGCACTCCTCTCTTCCGCTTAGCTACATTTTAGCAGATGAAGTAACTTCACCTAAAAAAGGCAACAAACCTTTACGGATATTGACAGGCCCTCCTCGCATAGCCAGCACCAGCTTGATGGTGGCTCCATCAGTGATGTTGCACTCCTGGAGAGAGCAGTCATCGGGTAGCTCTTGGCTCTTCCAAATCAGGTGCTGCTGAGACACCGGAATGCCTGCAGAGAACACAGTAAGGTGCGATTCTGATTAACCTGCCATGGCACCACTTTAGAGAGATACTTAACGAGAAGATCAAACGGGCACGAGAAACTTGCCCCTTTTACAATGTCAAGAAAACTACTACTATTACGAGAGCAAGCTTAAAGGAGCACCGACGGGAATTCTCAATGATTTGGGATTGTTGCTTTACATAGGAGCACTGGGGTCGAGAACGTTGGAAAGAGTATTGCGCGCCTTCAACTTGCATATTTTACAGCGAAAGCTGTTATGAAATCACAATAAGGGCCATTTTTGGCACCGCTGCCACCGGTTCCCGTAACCACTATCACATGAAATAAGAAAAAACCAAGTAAACAAGAAAGACCAAACACTACGATGAGATTCAAACCTGGGATCCCTGTGTGCCAACCTAGTATTCAAACACACCACCACCTCAGTGCTTCAAACTCCCCTGCAAACTGACCCTAGGCATAATTCATGTCGGGAAAGGAATCGCGTTATTATTAGTAATAAAGCATTATAGAAGAAAAAAAGAACAGCCAGGCTTTACACAATATGAAATGCGTAAGGAGTAGGCCGTCGAATGCACAAACCCATAACAAAAGCCTCAGGCATAATTCTTCGTCGTCATCAGCCACAGCATAAAAAAATTATGCAAAACTTGTTGCCACACATCTCCAAAAAAAATAACGAACAGCGGTGCAACAGGCCAAATAGAATATGGAGCAATTTTTGGAGCAGTGAAAGTTTACTGTTCGAGCACTAAAATGCAAATTTGGAGCAGGTTAGCGTTCCGGAAAAACACATCCATTTTTTATCATGAAAGACCAAATTCGGAGCAGTGTAAAAAGAGAAGGCTTACATTTAGAAAAAAAAAAAACAAGTATGTACAAACCATTCAACATCACATGAATCGTGCAAAGTAAACATGAGCACTGCTACTTCAATGAAAGTGGTATTTTCAACCACCTCACTGAGCAAAAAATGATAAATCCCCATTAGCATTCTCCGCATCTTTAAAATACTTTGACAGACAGACTCCGATTTTAAATGTGAATTCGCCAAGGTGGCGACATTGAAAATCAGGGGATTAGTGAAACTGAAGAGTAGCGGGGGGGGGGGGGGGGGGGGGGGAGAAAAAGCACAAATTTTTTCCAAGGTGCCAGCAATGTCTCACACTGCTCCAAATGCTTGCTTGTAGCATTTTCAGATGTCAGCACTTATACCAGTACTGATAGTTATGCGCCATATACGCACAAGAGTAAATGAACAAAACGAACTAAAAGCCCCTTCTAAATCACAATACGCTTTTTTGTACGACACTGGCGTACTGTGGCGAAGGTGACTTACGCAGCATTCTGCACGGGTTGGAGCAAGGCCATGGAATATCTCCCTCTTCTTTTTTTTTTTTTTTTTTTGGAGTTAAGGCCGCAACTTCTCAGCTCACATGCAAGATGAGTTCTATCAGATAAAGTAACAACGGCACACGCTTGTCGATCCGGCGAACGCACCAAACATGTATCGCCGGGACGATCCAGCTAACACAACAACATAAAAAGTTTTGTGTGTCTCAGCTATGGCGACCAAATGTGGTCGCCGGCAACGCCACTGTTTGCCGCACGTCGACACTGCTCGCGCGCAGAAAACGCGGTATGCGCTTTCAGCTCCAACTGATAACATGTGATGGCCACCTTTGCCAACTAGGAAGTTCATATTTCCCGCGAAGCGTTGGTGGTGATGGTAACATATTTTTGCCTAGAAGTTGCATCGTCCCACCGGTAGGTATCCACTGTGGTCAGCAGACTAATGGGGGTGCGGCTTTGTTACTTTAGCTGGTCGATAGCGTCGCGTGAGTGCCCTGACCTATGGAGATATCTGACACTGCGGTTTAGGGTTAGGGTTTGCGCACTTGGATTGATTGATGATGCAAACGGAAGGTGACCTACGTGGCCTCTATTTCTCGCTGAAATTCGCACAGTCGAGAAAATTTTGAGGCTAGTCAGGCATTTTGACACAGCACGGCACAATTTCAGCAAATTTCATGGTTTTGGCGCAGCTCGGCGCAAAAATGGGGATTTGAATCAAGTTGGCGCAATTGTCAGAGCTGTTCCACCCCTGACAAAGAATGGCACAGTGAATGCCTTCCTACTACACAACAATATGACTTACACCATAGTAGGTACCATGCAAGTGGGCTTTGTAGCAGTTACCTAAAGAGTGTTTAAAACTGGTTCCAGAAAGGCCCCTCTTCGAGCTTTCGCTGCAACTGTGCTGCGTACTTCACGCAGGCCTGGTAATTCTTTAAAACCGCTACTTTAAAAAAAACTGCCGGTTTCAATAATGAGGAGGCAGCTTCTCAGCGACGTGCCATGGCATCATGATGTCAAAGGGAGACAGCTATTCGCGAGTACAAGTGGCAGATTTGCCATCTGCTCATGGTGCACATAAACTATAAGTAAATAGTCTCCAGCGACTCTGACAGCAATTTTTGCTATTTAACTGCAGGCAGAGTTCACAAATTTAGTGAAACTGTGTTAACTTATCACGATAATGTCCACTGTGGTGCGACTGGCTTTCAAATGCTCAGAGCTGAAAACATTAAAACCGAAGCGAAATATTTTCTATATGTAGCCAGACTCTGGAGTGGGGAGAATGTAAACACTGCATAAACGGTGAACGTCCCTCTCGTGACTTCTCACAATCGTGTCAGTACTCCTTTAAGTAAAAATATAAGAGAAAGCAAAATACGGATGATGAGGCTGCCCAGAAATTCTTGCACCAGTTTTATCTACTTCTAGGCTTGCTAGATAGAGTTTTCCCACTAGCCTAGTTGAAATTCCAAAATCACAAAAGCTGTATAACACTACAGCAAGGAGAGCCCCGCTACAGTGGTCTACTGGCTAAGGCACTCTGGTATTGACCCACGAATCCCGGCAGCGGCGGCTGCATTTTTGGACGCGAAAATGCTGTAGGCCCATGTGTTCAAATTTCTGTGCACGTTAAAGCACCCTAGGTGGTCAAAATTGCTAGAGCCCTCCACTACGGCGTCTTTCATAATCATATGATGGTTTTAGGACATTAACTCTTTCGTTACCATGACCATTCAAATCTATGAGCGTTGATCAAAGCTTCTAAATCATAAATTTTGGCATGTTATGAAACTTGTTTCTCATGCATCGAGCACTTTCTAGTATTTAGTCTAGCCACTCGAATTTCAGAATTAATTTGAATTCGCCACTTTTGGCAACATAGTGATTTTTGACACAACTTTGCACGAACCAATGTGCGTGTATTGTTGAAAAAGTGCTGGCAAACTTGACAGAAGTGTGTGCCCCTCGTGATTCTGCTACAGGAACATCAAAGTTCTGTAACGATAAGAACCTTTGAAAGCCACATATCGAATTAAAGTGTCAGCTTCGCAATTTGACTATGCTGAGCAGTATCAATTGCCAGAAATTTATTCTAGATATTCATCAGAGAGCTGTTCATCGGAGTCGGGAAAAATTTGTTTTACAAAAAATGTTTGAGAAGGTCCGCCAAGTGTTTAAAGTCTCTAGATGGCCTTCTCTAGTAGTTTTCAGCAGATTTGGTTTTGCTTGCATTGTTATAACAGACAAAGGGTCGCATCTGGTGTCACTATTAGCTCCTATCACCTCATCGTCACGCGCACATGTGCGCACCAGCGCTACTCGATACTGTCTTGCAACCACACCTGAATTGAGTGAGGACAAGCTTAGAGTTCGGGCATGACAGCACCTCCACTTCAAGTTTTATGGCGACGATCTTTTGTGTCAGCCTGAAACACCCACAGCCGTTCATGGTTTTTTTTTTTTTTTTTACATCCTCAAGTTGTCTCCTCCGCCACAAGTGCGTACAGCTTCTGACCTTTGTGCACAATCTTACAACTACTCTGGTTACATGCGAGGTCCACACTACGCTGGGGCACGGTGTGCTGGCGCTGGCTGCAGAGCTTCTCTAACGACAAGAAGGCCCCTGGAGCAGATCTTAGCCCTGACTACGAAGCAGTGCAAAACGTTTTCGAACTGCGCACGATGGTACTTTTTAATACGATATTCGCAAAAATGCTAAGAAATATGCTTGAACGCATATATTGAAATGCCAACCTATGCGGAGTGAGGTGGCTTATGGAAAGAGGTGACGCCATATGAAATAGTGAAGTTCATTAACCTCATATATAGAGGAATCATTGAAATCATGGGTATCCTTTTATATTGCATAGCCTGGAGACTATTATCGCAAGACAAAAAAAATTACTGAGAAAAGTGTACGAGTACACTTGGGTCTCACGACAAACTATGCAATGCTTCATCGCATGGCACAAGCAACGAAGCAGAACCATGGTTCTGATTTTTTTTTTTTTTTGTCTACGTGAAGAGATACAATTTGTATAACATTCATTATTTTTACACTGTTTTTGTGTCATTTATTTACAAAATTTTTATTCTAAATTTCCTGTTTGGAATATTTTTTGCGTATACATAGTTTTTTTATTCCACTGTTCACCAGCTGGCAACCTAAAATTCCACATTTTTCACATTTTTATTAATATTTAAATATTTTTTGCAGTTCGACAACATATATTTTTTTGGAAAAAGCGTTTCATTGTGCAAAGTTGGTATGCTGCAATGCGCACAGGAGTATACGTTTCAAACAGGCAAAAACAATCCTCCCGAGACATATGAAAAACAACCATTTTTACGTGGTAACTAAAAAGTTAAACCCCACTCATACATTAAGATGAAAAACCAAACTTGGACGAAAACGAACTCTTACCAGAACTGAATCTCTGCTGAAACTAATATTCCTAAAACAAGCCTGAAGTCAATGGTTTGACAAATCGTCTGGTCGAAAAGTGGCATGATGACAAGCTTTAAAAATCCTGACTAAAATAAAAGGTTTTAAACATTGAAACATGAAAAATGTTTTGGCTCCCATACGTGTTCACATAACAGTGGTCTGGCAGCTCAGCCTTATG